TGGCCGGCCGCCGTAACCATTGCTGCCGTTGTTGCTGCTGCTGCCGCATTTGAAGCCCTTGATGCTACTATTCGAAACACCACAACCGAAGCTGTTACTCGGGATGTTTTTGCTAATACTCCCTCCTGCTGCTTCCGCTGCCGCTACTGGTACTGATGCTTCCACTCCGGTAACGTGTAGTGGCCTCTTTGGAAATGGGCATTCGGCGCGACATCGAATCCGTTTAGCGTGTTGATTAGACTCGTCGGCACACCCGCGAACGACAGAAGGCCCGTGAACGGCTGCTTGGAGCAGATATGATGACAGGAGCCGGAAAGGTGGTGTGCATTGGTCGGGTTGGCTGTTATCGTCGGCGTATGCGTCTTTCTAGTGTAAATTTGACGTTTCATCGGCCTCGACCCAGACCAACTCGAAGATGTTGTTCAGAATTGTCGCTGCAGCGTCGTTGAGCGATTCTTCGAACGGATACACCACCCGTTTGTTCAGCCGCTGGATGATCCACAATAACTTGCCTACTCTGAAACTAGGGCACGACAACGGGAGACAGCATGCTCAATGGGCGTTTGAGCTGGAAAGGCGGGAGGAACAGACGCGGAGGACAACTCGCTGATACAGAGGAAGCATGCGTCTACAGCACAGAGAGGCAAGAAATCTCAGACGGAAGCACTCTCTCGGTGATGGATAGCTCCCAGAAAAGGGCGCGCCAGGAACAGTCACAGTCCGGAAAGTAGAACGTCAGATCGAGCGAGATCGAGCGCCATGGATTTCACTGACACAGGCCAATTCAGTCCCGCAAAACAGTCCCTGAACTCAGGTGAAATGAATTGACCTACGCTTCGGGTCAGCCTCGAGACCGTCCGAACTTAGTCGATGTGCTTTCCATGCTCTGATCTCCTGCACACAGGCGCTTGAATATCGCCATGAGTTCCACTGTTCCAGCGTCCTCATAGTTGCGACGCCTGGGGTAATATGCCGAATGTAGTACTTGGTATCTCGTGCGATACCCAATGTACGACCGTTGCCCCCGCGTTCACATCTTGGACTGCAGGGGACGGTAGGCGAACGGCACCCGGGCGATAGCGTGGATCAACGCGAGGTCGTGACTCGTGGGCGGTATCCATCGTTGGTAGACTTTCTCCTGGTGTCGATTGCTTCGGTGCATGAGGATGCAAAAGCTGGAGTAACTGGTCTTCCGGTTGATTGGACATAGTAGCACCGGAGATCCACGGCGTCTGCACCAAGCATAGCTCGCACAGAGCCAGAAAACGGGTATGTATGCACGACGATGGTCGTTGTGGGCTGCCACAATCCGAACTCGTGACCAATACCTCACGTGGTCTGACACCTGCCCTTCTTTCACTCCGAGCCACCTGAACGAAGAGCATCTGTGAACAACCGGTTTCGTTTCGTTGGGACCCCATCCCTCTCAGAAGTGGCGTTCCCTGCATCCATGGTGGGTTTCGACGTCGATCCGATATCGCTGCAGAGCGTGCCAGTGTCCTGCATCCGGGGAGAGCCATCTCGGCCCGGATCTGAAGTGCAAGCCGCGCACAACATGACCAGGCATGGGATTGGCCCTGTCAGTTAACTGTGAGAGAGCAGACGATGGCATCACGTTACATCAACCAAGGACAACGGGCGTATCTGAATCTGCACTCCCCCTTTTCGACACTATGCGTCTGACTGGATCTTCACGACTCCCCATCTGCTCTCTAAGATTCTGGGGCGACTCACGGACACATTTCTGTCTCCTGGGATCGACTTTGTCTCACTAGGGCTTGATGCAATCTGTTCATCTTCTGGAAGCGCCGATAGACTGCCATGCCTTGAGATGCGCCGCCGGCCAGGACTGACTCCGTGCGAGCTTGCGTGTGTGTTTGTGTGAATCTGCCACATTGGCGTTGGGTGCTTAGTGGCTGTGAACCGGGGCATTGTTCCAGCGAGGCAGCGGGTATAAAGAAACGCTGCTCGAACATGAGGTAGAGCGCTTTACCTCATGCCTCTGACCATGTCCCAAGCTGATAAAGAACAGGTCGGCAAACGAAAGGCAGAAGAAGAGCGTAACGAGCGCGAGAGGGCCAGTGGGAATAAGCTTTGGGGAGTCTACATTTCCGAGGCGGAGAAGTACGATCAGGGTCTCATCGATGGCTGGCGCAGCGACATGGATGGACTGCTGATCTTCGTGCGTCTCCGCCCTTTCTCAATCCCGGTCCCTCTCTGAAGCTGACTCTCAGGCCGGTCTCTTCTCGGGCATTGTCACTACATTGATCATCGATAGCTACAAGACGCTAAACCCGGACTCGGGCAGCCAGACCGTCGCACTGCTCACGCAGATCTCTCACCAGCTTGCGAATCTGAATAACAGCACGGCAGTGACAGATGCACTCCCTCCTGCCGCTCCCTTCTCGCCCCCGATCTCAGCTCTCGTCTGCAACGCACTGTGGTTTACCAGCCTTGCGCTCAGTCTGTCAAGCGCACTTGTCGCGACTCTGGTCGAGCAGTGGGCGCGCGAGTATCAGCATCGTACAACCATGTTCTCATCCCCCTCCATCCGGTCCCGTGTCTACATGTATCTGTATCACGGATTGCAGCGTTTCAATATGCATGCTGTTGTCGGTGTCCCGCTGCTTCTCCTGCACTGGGCACTTGTCCTGTTCTTTGCGGGTCTGGTCGCATTTCTAGTGCCCGTCAATGTAATCATCACGGTCATAACATCCGCTCTCCTGCTTCTCTTCGTCTCGGTCTATGGAACGCTCACCATCCTTCCGTTGTTCTTCCTTGACTGTCCGTACCAGACGCCGCTCACACAAATCTTGTGGTTGCTGAATCAGACCTGGGGAAGTGTACTGAGGGCTTACATTCGAAGGACAGTGGCTGTTTGGGAGGTCGTCTTTCGAAAGCGAAAGACTGTGACAGACCCCGAGAAACCCGCCGAATCTCCTGTAACAAACCCCGGTACTTCTGCCAAGCCTCCTGCACGTGAAGACACCCGTACGGAGTCGCAGAGCATGGCCGAGGCCATCAAATCAGAAGCACTGCATCCCCCAGTCAAGACGGAGACGCACGCACTCGCGTGGACCGTCCGGTCTCTGTCTGACGATGAGGAGCTCGAGAAAATTGTCGAGGGGCTGCCCCAGACGCTGTGGGATTTCGATCAAAATCAGCCTCGCGGCGTGTATCAGGCACTATTCCAGTCCCTGCTGTGTGATCCTGAAGTCCATCTGGGTCAGCGTCTCGCTGATTTCATGGCTGGTTCCAACAGCAATCTGCTCGAGCCCAAGGACCGCCTTCGCCGCCAGCTGTCCGTGCTCCGGGCCATCTGGGCGATCTGCGCGTTCTCTCTTCACACGGATTCGCCTTTGCAAAGTCCAATCGGAGAAGCCCACGTGGACCACGCGCTGCTTGGCTCGAAATTTCTTGATTCTCCTGACGTGCAGAGCATGCTCCCCGACGTGTCTGCTCTGATCCGTCTCAACGTCATCGAGTTTCGGAACCGGGAACGGGCCCTCACACAAGCAAGCAACTCCAACGGTGGCATCCGTACCGCAGCGGAGGAGAAACGGCAAGCAGACATGCATGAGACGTACACAGATTATCTGCTGGCACTTTCCCAATGTGCTGCCAGCTTCCAACGGGATGTGACCCATTCACTCTTTGATCAATCACAAATGCAGTTCACGGAAGCGGAGGGCTACAAAACCCTGCACGATGCTTTCACACAGCTGATTTATTCAACGTTGGACAATGGAACGGACGAAACAGCGGACAACGTCGTCTTTGCTGCTCGCCTGATGATCAGCCCGTTTGCTCAGACATCGGAATATCCCGATGAGTACCTGTGGCCCCTTGCGCAGTTCCTTGTCGGACATCCGTCCATCGCCGTCTCCGACTCACAGCCCGCTTCGAAGCATCATTACACCCGATTCCTGTGCTACATGCTATGCAAGAACTTGGCGTACCCAGCATATCCCCAGGAATCTGTTGACGCCCTCGAGCTGATTTATCGGAATTTCCTTGCGTCTAGGGTGCCACCAAAAGACCCCGATACCCATCTGTTGGTCCTCCGCACTCTGCGCACTCAAGCAGCTGACATCCGCACGCATCGTTTTGCTGCCATCGTCCAGTGCGTCGCGCTTGGAAGTTTCTGGGAGGATTTCTCAGGATCGGCGGATTTGTCGGAATGGGGGCGATTGCCGAGTATCTTCGACGACGAGGACTGGTTCCGCTCCGTGATCGGCCTTGACAACGATAAGCGGACGAAGAGCGCATCGGCACATCAAATTTACAACTGTGGCCGTGTCGGTGTTTTCACCGCTGTCTTCGAGCAGTGCATGGCACGGGGTCCGGATCAAACAGAGCGGGACCGGGACTTTGAGATGCTCAATTCGGTAGTGGGTCACACGGGCATATACATTTCTTCGGGGATCGCCACTGAACTGCAACGTCGATTCGCCGACGCCGCCTCCGGATTCATCCGCAAATATCCAAAGGACTGTCTTGCGGGAGAGAATGGGTTCTTCTCGGTGCTTCACTTGGCCGTCCGTGCTCACAAGGGGTGGATCGAGAATTTGGATGCATTGCGCGTCCTGGACACGGCTCTGTCGGAGGTGCAGACAGAAGATCAGCAGAAATCACACAGGGACCGCGCTCGAAAAATCCGGGATCGGATGCAGGACCGGCTCTATCCCGAAGACATTTTTGCCGCCTTTGTTTCGCTGATAAGTGACGGGGAGTGAAGGGACCATTGCAGCGGATGTCATTTTCTATTGATATAGCCTACAATCCGTGTATCTTGTATGTACAACTTCTCTTCACTGCGCGTGAGACCCTCCGTCGAGGGAAGGCGGTATTTTGGTCGGCTTCGCTTTCGTCGTCAGCGTATGCGTCTTTGCGCTGAGAGTCGACAGCTCGTCCTCTTGGCGCCCGGATCGCTCGATGCGTCCACAGCACACACAGGCGGTCGATCTGAGGCAGCATCACTTCCGACATGTCGCAGCAGACGCGTTACCAGGGCGTGAGCACCCCAATCAACCCCCAAACAGAGCAAGCGCAAGCGAGCGTACTCAGCTGCCAACGATCGGTGATGCACAGCTCCCAGACAACAGCGCACTATGTATGGACCTTGGGTGCTCTCAAATCCGATTTGACGCACCTCCGGTCTGGAAAGAAGAACTTCAGGCGAGGAATGACCGAAAAGGATGCAAGCCACTGACGGAGGCCGGTCTGATGCCACAGAATCTGACTATGCGATGAATCTACTCACGTCTTGTCCCCATTTCGCAGACAGTCCAAAGATAGCCAAAGGTGCGACACTGGGCCTCGAGCACAGGCTTTCGGAGTGTCAACGACGCTTTAGGAAGCATGAAACGGTACACCTCTGAGCAACCCGCGTGTTGATCTGTTTCCACCGCATGCGGATTGTGGGCTGCAGGGAATAGTATTCACACGTCAGCCAATGCACGAAAGCACAGGATAACGGGGAACAACGCGAGGTTGTGGAAAGTGCCAATGGGCAGTAGAGTTCCTGGTGTCGATTGCTTTAGTGCATCACGTCGTCCAGTCGAATTGACGTGAGTGTCGAAGATACACGGGCTGCATCGAGTATAGGTCAAGCTGACCACGCGCGTTTCTTCAAGCCATTCAAACGAAAAGCGTTCGTGAAGAGCCGGTCTCATTCCATGGGTAACCCATTTCTCTGAGAAGTGGCGCGCTCCAGATCGAACGTGAAGAAGGACCATCTATCTGATGTCGCTACGACCCGACCTTCGACATGTGCATCTGCCAATGCTCTCGCAGCTTCGGATCCTCCGCCGCCAGCACACGCATCACGACATTCGGGGTGCCATGGGAGTCGAAATGCCCCGCCGCCAATCGCCAGCCGTAGCGGTCACCGTTCCGCTGATGTTGTTCCTGACATCCATGCATATCGTCTGAGCGAGGATGGAGGAAAGTTCGAACGCCCATGATTGGTGTTAGGCCATTGTGATACGACGCGACGACGATGACGAGGAGAATGTGACCAGCCGCTGACGCTGCATGGGAAGCTCTTTCTGACGCATCTCTTCGACTTCTGGCAGAACAAACTGTTCCTGAGCCTGCTGCTTCCGTCGCAGATGCTCTTCCTCCTCCTCTTCCTGCTCGTTCTGACGCTGTCCGAGTCGAGTAGATGCCCAATCGACGCGACAGCTGAACTTGTCAGAGTCAAATCACCCCAACTGCAGGTTTCTGGACGTTGATCCCGTTGCTGCTGAGACCGCCAATCCAGCCAGTAACATTCCGGACTTTCGGGCGGCCAACGTGACCAGCACTCATCGGCAAAATGCCGCGCAAGGCACTCCTGGAGCTCTTTCTACCCTTTCCACTAGCATGCACCCGGGTCCACTCAAACATGCCCGAATTGTCACACCTGACCTTGCCCCGGCAGAGCGTCGACTGGCGCCAGAAATGCAGCTCAGCAGTGATCCTGTTGTGCCTCTCATGTGCCGTGCGGCAGTGAGAACGCGGTTGGCGAAGATACGGTCGCTGAAGATACTGCGTCTCCTTTGTCCGAGCGCCGCAACAGGAGCGGACAGCCTGGCTAGGGCACGATACGTGTGGTGAGTGGGCATCTGAGTGACGGCAAGAGACGTGTCAAGCAGAGATCTGGAGCATACGAGTCCGCGAGCGAGTCGCTGAGCGAAACCACATGTTGTATACCCTCACAGAGGACACAGAAGTACCGTGGACACAGGATTAGATGAACGAAAACATTCTAAGCAGCGGCCGGACCCGTGCGCTGACAGAGCGAGAGCATCAGGTTCGCCCAGTTTATGACCACCCGTCTAGGGTGACTGAAGTCACGGAGCGAGATGTGCACACAGATCCGCCGTAATGAAGCGTGTTCGCAACAAAAAAGCGACATTCGCAGATATCGGAAGCAGGAGAGGACCACAAATTCGATGGCTGGCTGCACCAGTGATCGGGAAGCAGCGAGCGTGGAAATGCAGCGACCGTTGATCCACTGCTCTGCAGCAGTGATGAAAGCGCCCAAGATTCAATAAAGCGGCTGATTCGCCGGTAGTCCGGACATATTTCTTGACTCAGCGCTTCCAGACGCACGCCATGACACTGCACCTGGGCGTAAACTGCGTGGGTCAACGCATGGATGCATGGACGCACACCACAGCGATTCGAAACGACCGACACCAGTGTGGCGGACACGAGCTGTCGTCGTCGTCGTCATCGTTGTCGAACATGTTCGCCAGAAGCGAATCCAGAGGAAGGTGATGTATCCGGGAGGCGCGACGAGAGGCATAGTCTTGTACTGCAGGGTGCGAACGCCCTGAAATTCGCGACAGGATGGACGCTGACTGCCAAGATTGATCGGCCGTCTTTCTATGTAACAGTTCGGATGAAAGAGGACTTGTCTTGTGTGCGTAGAGCCGTCCATCGAGAAATGAAATCAGTGTCGACGAGCCTATTGTCAGCGATCATCGCCGACGGGGTAGCACAGCATTTCCCGCTGGAACTGGGCCTGGCTGAAGGACGGTGTGTCTGGATTCGGCCAGAGCATGTGCGTCGTGCTTTCCAAGTTCGATAGCTTGGCAAAGAACTCGAGCGCGTCATCCGTGAACACAGAGCTCAAGTACGCCAACTCGCACTAGGGGGGCAGTGTTTCGGTCGGCTTGGTTGTTGTCGTTAGCGTGCGCGCGTTCCCGCCGAAGATCGATAGCTCCTCGTTCTCGGCCCAGGACGGCTCGAAGACGTTGCTCGGGATCATCGCGGCAGCGCCCGTTTTGTCAGCCGCTGGATGATCGGCGCGAACTTGTCTGCTCCAAATCTAGGGCATGTCCAGGCGAGACAGAATGATCTGTGGCATGTTTAAACTGAAGAGATAGGCGACCAAATGCAGTAGAGCACTCACCAACGCAGAGAACGCATGTGTCCACGGCAATCCACGAGGGAGCAATCTCGGACAGAAATGGTTTCGACTGGTTTCTCAGACCACCGTCCGATCCAGATACACAGTGGTGGCCAGGCAGGTACGTCGGCGCATCAGGGATCTTCGTAGGATCATTCGGGTTGTAGGAGATGGATACGCTGACAAGACCGACACGCGTGTGACCTTTAGGAAACGTAGCGTGTCGATACTAATGAACAGTGAAATGCCCCCTAGTCTTGACTTTCCTGGTGCATTAGGATGTCACAGCGGATGCATTTCGTCTTCTAGCTGACTTGCATGAGAGCGTCGGATAATCATGGCGCCTGCGCCAACTGTAGGTGGCACAGACGGTCTTTCTCCTCAGATGTTTCAAGACGGTGGGTCAAAAGGTCGCAATCGATTCCCGATGCGTCACCAGGGAACGGGGATGCAGAACGTCGTTGCTGCAGTCGTGCTACCGCATTCGAGATTCGTGACAATCGTGACGCGGTGTCACAGCACGTGTCTCTTCCAATCCACTCCAATCGAAAAGTGTATGTGATTCGTGAACGACCGATTCCATTTAGATGCGGACAGCATCACTCTCAGGATGGGCGTACGATGCATCCATGGTAAAGAAGGCCGTCTATCTGATGTTGCTCTCGGTCGAGGTCATGAAGATTTCTCGACTGCCTGACAAGACATCGGGTCGGTTGTGACAGTACGACTTTAAGAAGAGCCACAAGATCCAGGACGATCGCATTACACCGCATGTGACCAATTACGACGGGCGTATCTGAGTCTGCTCTCGCCCTTGCGAAACGATGCGTCTCGTTGGATTCTAACGACCTCCCGCTTACTGACTGATATTCTACAACGACTCCTGCATATGCACACCTCCTGGATCTGACGACATCTTCCTAGTGCTTGATGAAACGTGTTCATCTCCCGGAAGCGCTGATGGACTGCCATGCTCTGGGATGCGCCACCGGCCAACGTTTGTGTCGCACGAGCTTACTTTTGCTTCCTTGAGCGCCCATGTCTCAATCTGCCACTCTGGCGCTGGGCGCAAAGTGGCTGTGAGCCGTGATATCGCCCTGGTGAGCCAGCGTGCATGAAGAAACGCTGCACGGACACGAGGCAAAGCACTTCACTTCTTGCCTTGGACCATGCGACAAGCTGAGAAACAACAGACTGGCCAACGAAAGGCAGAAGTAGAGCGTCTCGAGCGCGAGAGGGCCGGCGAAAATAAACTCTGGAGTGCCTGATGGTGCGCTGATCCTTGTGCGCCCCCCTTCCATTTTGGATCCCGGTCCTTCTCTTTCAATCTGACACATTAGGCTGGTCCCTTCTCTGGCGTACTTAAGACATTCGTCATCGATAGTTACTAGACGCTGAACCCTGGTAAATATGTTTCGGGCTGTAGCCATCAACTCTGGTAATCCCACTTCTGAGTTGTTGTATCAATGCTGAGGAGAAGAGAAAACGAAAAAAAACCGTCTCAAAATTGACACAATGGAAACAAGTGTACAGTCAAGAGAAACATACCCAAGATCCCAGAAATGATCCATTTATGCTTGATAGAATTGTTTTTTCAACCTCCAGCTGGGTCGTGGCCGATCCATGACAGCGCAGTGTGTGGCATATAGCCGAATCGTTGGCTTTTTCGATTTCTTCACTTGAAAGTTATTTCACATGGAAAAGAGATCAGGACTACCCTGGGAGTGACGATCGGCTGCAGGAGATCGGTGCATGTTCAGTCACGCCCGCCATCGACTCAGCGCCTTGGGTCTCACATGTCCTCCTTTCGCCATCCATACTATTGCTGTAAAATATATCTCGATCTTACAATGTGTAATGAAGGAACGAATATCCTAGGATCAAGCATAGCCACTGTTATGAGCGCCAACGGTTTAGTGCACTTTTCAAGACAGGTGGTCCAGTCTATATCAGTGCACGTAGACTTGGTTCGACGTAATGCCATATTGTGTTGGTGAGTTACGCTGTTTTTGGTCATGAGGCAATGCCGAAAATTTTCAAGACCTTTGCTCACCGGTGGACAGCCAGTTGCGTGCTCCACTACGGAGAAGTACATGTACCCACCTTCAGGTACACCAGGGCCATCTCGACGAAGATACAGCACATTCGGGGCTTTGTCCGGTGCGTCAGGCAGATCTGGTAGCAACTCGTCGGTCAGACGGACCAGCTCCGAGTCGTCGCGATTTAGAAACTACTCACGAGCGTAGTTGGACATCGTCCAGTCTCCGAAATGGTGCTGGGCATACAGTGGCTTTCCTGATCCGTCCAGATCCTCAGCGCCGGGTATGTGATCCATCAGCCAGACAGAGATGTGGGTATACCCCGTGTGACACCAGTTGGACGGCTTGTACTCGAACGGAAACGGCATATCCAGCCAAATCATGCTGTTGACCCCAGGCTGAATGATGGTGCCATTGTTTCTGGTTGGCGTGGTACCGCTGACGCTGACACCCGAAATATCAACCGCGCCTTGTCTCTCGACGTCGCCCTGGGTCTGCCCCAGAAAGGCAGTATATAAGGAGAGAGCGAAAACTGGAAGACGCATCGTGTTTCTGGGATTCTGTTCGTGTTCGATACCAACAGGCGCTTATATACGAGCTGCAGCTTGAAGATAGATCTCATGAACAGTCGATCCACATTCAGAAGTCATCGCGGCCTATCCAGAAGTACGGTTTATTCGCGTCAGCAAGTTCTCCGTCGAGCTCAAAATAGTAACCTTTGAGGCGTTTGTGCCTCGCCGCAGCTGGCCAAATACCATCGGATGCGAGATACTTCGGGGGTCGACCTTCTTTGTGTGAGAAACATGGTCTTCTCATCTTGTCTGCTGGTTCCACTATCCAAACAGGATCAGACTACTTCCCGCTTTCCCCCTTACCTCGTTGACCATGGCGTACGAAACGAGAAAGGGACAATGGGAAGAGAGGGCAAAGACCAAGAAGTCTACTCATCGACCCAATGTAACGCCGGGTTCACTGGTCGTCGTTAGATTGGGTCAAGGTACAAGGATTCAGAACTCTTCAGAATTCTGGAATTCACGACCGTGCGGCTTCCTGGTGTTACAGATTTTCCACGGACTGATCTAAGTCGCGAACACAGGGTTCTGTGACAGGCAGAAACACGTCCATTTGTTGGGCCACATGGATTGGCCGCGGGCCCACTGGGGACTAACTAGTGCTGGCCCCACACACCGCGAATTTAGTCCCCCTGGACCACCGCGGGGCCACGGCACACTCCCACTATAGTCCCGCGCGAACAATTTTTCCGTTTATCATATCAAGAATGATTGCGCAAACAGTTTCGGTCTGAAAGTCCTATGGACAAACACATTTGAGCCGACTCCTTCCATGGCAAGCGTTGGATCTCTACGACTTCCCCTCTGTTCACCGGGAGTCTTTTGCGATATGACTTATAAGAGATGAATGTGCGCCTCCTGGGGCTGGTGCTATCTTGCTAGTGCTTGATCCATCCGTCCAACTTCTGGAAGCAAGCACTGGCACGCTCGATTCTTTGGCTTTGCGTTGTGACCGCAGGTGCATGCTTCATTTTGAGCTGGCGCGAATTGCCCACTTTCCCCCAAACCTGCCAGTCGACGACCTACGACAACGCGTCGTACCATGCCGTTCCTTCCCGAGCTGTGTAGGGGGGCCGCGCCCCGGGACCTGATCGAGATCCCTTATCCCTTTGTCCCGCCGGTGCTAAGTCCAGACCTCGCCCTGTGGCTTGGGCGAATGAAGTCCTGTCCAACAGGACCGCGCCAGTAGGAGCCTAGGCTGAATCACCACTCCCGGCCAACTGGCGGCACCTACGACGGTCATTGCCTTCGCGGACAACGAGTACACGGATTCGTGTTTCCGTAACATTCCCGAGGGCGCCGTTGTCGACTTGCGCGATTTGCTGAGTGTCCGAGCCAACAGGAATGAGCACGCGCCCCGGCGGAGCCAGCTGTTCGGCCAGAGCCTGATTGCGCTGATCGTAGGCGACCCGACCTTCGGCTAGTATCTCTGTCAATGCTCTGGCAGCTGAGGATCCTCCGCGACCAGTCCACACATCGCGTAGCTAAATTGCTTTGCAGCCAGGCCACTGATACCGTTACTGCGGCTGAGACTGCGTTGCCGGTGAGGAAGCCTCCGTATGAGTGGTCGAACCACAGGGTGAGGAAAAGTTCGATGTGACGCGACGCGACGACGATGGCAAGGAGAATGTGGCCCTCCGCTGCCGCCGCATTCGAAGCTCTTCAGGACGCAGCGCTTCGACATCTCGCAGGTCAAGATGTTCCTTGAAACGCCGTTGGCAAAGATACTGTCGGCGAAGATAATGCGTCCCCTTGGTGTTGCGGCGCTGTGACGTCCGTGTCTTGCACTAGGAGCGAAGGCAGGGCACGGGTGGCTCGTGCAGGACGCGGTGGACGGGATGAACATGCACACGAGAGACCAGTGAGAGACGCGTTGAGCAGATATCCGGAGCGTGCAATTCAGCAACCTCGCCCAACGAAGAGCTGAAGCAAACAATGACCACCAACTTAGGGAGCATGAGCTGCTTGCTGAGCAAGATATCCTCGAAGCTGAAGTGTGATGAATCGATTCACGATTTTTGCCAGTTTCGCAGGAAGCTCAAGGATAGCCTAGGTGTTCTCGACACTGTGTTCTCTCCAGCACGGAACGCTCGAATATCGCCATGAACCCCATTGTCCCCACAGTTTCGAAGCCGCAGAAGAGTACGCCGAATCTCTGAGAAACATGCGCGAATGGGTCTGTGTCCGTCGCATTCGGATTGTGGGAGCCAGGATAAGGTAGATGAGAGGACGCGGTCGTGTGCGGCACCAATGGTCAGCGAACTCCCCCCTCGTCTCGATTTCCCTGGTGCATTAGGATCTCGTCTTCCAGCTGTCTTGCGTGACACGGTGAGAACGTCGGAGAATCACGGCGCTTGCGCAAACTACAGGTGGTACAGACGAGCTGTCTACTCGGAGGGTGCGAAACGGCCGGCCAAAAGGTCGCAGTGGATTCACGACGCGTCGCCAGAGAGCGGGGATGCAGGATGTCGTTGCTGTTCCAGTGCTACCCCATTCGAGATTGGTGACAATCGTGACGCGGCTTGATAGCACGAGTTTCTTCCAATCCACTTCAATCGCAAGGTTTTTGTGAACAACCGATCTCAGTTCGATGCAGACAGGGTCACTCTCAGGATGGGCGTGCGCTGCATCCACGGCGAATTGCTCCCGACCGACGTCAGGAAGATTGGAGCCCTGGACTGCCTGACAAGACATGGGATTGGCGATGACAGTGCGACGTTGAGAAGAGCTGCGAGAGATGGGACAATCACATTCAATAGTATGTGACCGGGTACAACGGACCTATCTGAATCTACTCCTTTCATTTCGAAACTATGCATGTCGTTAGATGTCAACGACCTCCTGGGACCGACACCGTCTATCTGGTGCTTGAGCCCTGGGATCCGCAACCGGGCAATCTTTATGCCGTCCGAGTTTTCTCGGGCTTCCTTGAGCGCCTATGTCTAAATCCGCGGCTCTGGCGCTAGGCGCAGAGTGGCTATGAGCCGAGGCATCGTTCCAGTGAGGCAGTGTGGATGGAGAAACGCTGTGCGGCCACGAGGCAGAGTAGTTTCCCTCCTGCCTTTGATCATGTCGCAAGCTCAGAAAGAACAGGCCGACAAACGAAAGGCAGAAGAAGAGCGTATCGAGCGCGAGAGGGCCAGCGGAAATAAACTCTGGAGCGCGTACATCACCGAGGCGGAGAGCTACGATAAAGGTCTCATCGACGGCTGGCGCAGCGAGATGGATGGTATGCTGATCTTTGTGCGTCTCCGACCGTTCTCGATCCTGGACACTCTGAATGTAACTCGTCAGGCCGGTCTTTTCTCGGGCGTTATCACGACATTCATCATTGACAGTTACAAGACATTGAACGCCGATTCGGGCAGCCAGACCGTCGTGCTGCTCAGCCAAACGGTCGCACTCCTCGGCCAGATTTCGCAACAACTTGCGCACATGAACAACGGGACTGCAATGGCGGAAGCCCTCCCTCCCGCTCCTGCCTTCTCGCCCCCAGTCTCAGCTCTCGTCTGCAATGTACTCTGGTTCACCAGCCTCGCACTCAGCTTGTCGAGCGCACTCGTCGCGACTCTGGTCAAGCAGTGGGCGCAGGAGTACCAGCACCGCACATCAATGTTCTCGTCTCCCTCTGTTCGCGCGCGCGTGTACATGTATCTTTACTACGGCTTACGACGCTTCAATATGCATGCCGTTGTTGGCGTTCCCCCGCTTCTTCTGCACGCTTCACTACTCCTGTTCTTTGCGGGTCTCGTTGCCTTTCTCGTGCCCGTCAACGTCATTATCACGGGCATCTCCTCCGCTCTGCTGCTCCTCTTCGTTGTGGTCTATGCGACGTTCACTGCACATCCGCTGTTTTTCCTCGACAGTCCGTACCAGACACCACTCACACGGATCCTCTGGTCGCTGAATCAGAGCTTGGGACGTGTGCTGAGGGCTTACATTCAGAGGGTAGCGGATATTTGCAGGGCCTTCATCCGAACCAAAGTCGCTGTGCCCGACCCCGAGAAAGCCGCCGAATCTCCTGTGACGAGCCCTGGTGTCTCTGACGAGGTTTATGCACCGGCAGAATCTTGTCTGCAGTCCCCAAGCATGATTGTGGCAGTGAAATCAGCCGCACTCCATCCTGCTGTTGAAACGGAGATCCGGGCTCTCACGTGGACCGTCCGGTCTCTGTCTGATGACGATGATCTCGAGCGATTGGTCGAGGGGCTCCCCGCACTGTGGGATTTCGATCAAAATCAGCCTCGTCACGTGTATGAGGCGCATTTCCGCAGCTTATTGGGAAACCCGGAAACCCATGTCTGCCAGCGTCTCGGCGATTTCATGGTTGGCTCCACAAGCAATCTGCTTGAGGACAAAGTCCGCCTCCGCCGCCAGCTCTCTATACTCCAGGCCATCTGGGCTATCTGCGCGTTCTCCCTTCACACGGGGTCACCTCTGCAAAATCCAATCGGAGAAGTTGACGTGGACAACGCGTTGCTCAGCTCAAAGTTTCATGCTTCCCCTCACGTGCAGAGCATGCTTTCCGCCGTGTGCGCTTTGATTCGTCTGAACGTCATCGCGTCTCGGAGCCGGGAGCGGGGCTCCACACAGCCGAGCAACTCTGACGCCGAAACGGAGAGGCAACAGCACGCAGACATGCATCGAACATACAGAGATTATCTGAAGGCACTTTCCAAATGCGCTGCCAGCTTCCAACGGGATGCGACCATTTCATTCATCAATCCGCCACAAATGCGCTTCACAGAAGTGGACGGCTACAAAACTCTGCATCGGGCTCTCGATCAGCTGATCGAATCTGCGCTGAAGAAGGCAGCAGACGAGACTGCGGAGAATGTCGTCTTTGCTGCTCGCCAGATGATCAGCCAGTTTGCCCAGACATCAGATTATCTGTATCTGACACTGCCGGGCCTAGGGCCATTCCTTGTCCGACATCTGCCCCTCGCCGACTCCGACCCAAAATTCGACTCAAAGCATCATTACACCCGATTCCTGTGCCACAGTCTATGCCGGAGCTTGAAGTACCGACTCGATCGCCAGCCATCTGTCGACGCCCTCCAGCTGATTTATCGGAATCTGCTTGCGTCTGATAAGCCACCAAAAGAACTCGAAACCCATCTGTTGGTCCTGCGCACTCTGCGAACTGAAGCAGCCGACATCCGCACGCACCGTTTGGCTGCCATCGTCCAGTTCGTCGTGCTCAAAAGTTGCAAGAAGGATTTGTCGAAATGGGAGCAATTGCTAAGTATCTTCGACGACAAGGACTGGTTCCGCTCCGTGATTGGCCTGGACAACGACAAACAGACGGAGCGGCCATCGGCGCAGCAAGTTTTCGACTGTGCACTTGTTGGTGTTGTAACCACTTTTCTCGAGTGTGCCACCCGCAGTCCGGATCAAACAGAGCGCGACCTGGACTTTGCGACGCTCAAATCGGTACCCTACGCAGGCATGTTCACTTCTTCGGTGATCCCGACTGAAATGCAACGTCGATTCGCCGACGCCGCCGCTGGATTTATCCGCGAATATCCGAAGGATTGTCTTGCAGATTGGGATGGGATCTACTGGGTGCTTGACTGGGCCGTTGATGTGGCCTACGGGTGGGTCAAGAATTTGGATGCATTGGGCGTCCTGGACACGGCTGTGTCGCAGGTGCAGACAGACGATCATAAGAAAGAACACCGGGACAACGCTGCGACGATCCGCGGATACATGCAGGAGCGGCTTCTTCTGCCCGAGGACATTTTCCCGCCTTTGTCTGACTGGTAAGTGATGGGGAATGAAGGGACCATTGCAGAGGGCATTATTTTCCATTGATTTAGCGTATAATCTATGTATTATGTACGTTCAACGTGATCCTCTTCACTGCGCCTGAGCCCGTCGATCTAGTCTGTGTGCGTACATGCACAAGTCTCACGGTCACGCAGATTGGATCGTCCAGACTGCATCTCACGGGACTCTCTCTGGGAGCAAATCCAATAAGCACCAGGAAGGCGGTGTTTTGGTCGGCCTCACTTTCGTTGTCAGCATATGTGTCTTCGCGCTGAGAATCGACAGCCTATCCTTTTGGGTACGGACAGCTCGAAGGTGCCGTTTGGGATCACAGATTCGACCAATCTCAGACAGGAACACTTGCGACTGCGTCCTCAAACTAGGGAGTAGCCCTCATACACAATGGTAGACCAGGATGAAGGCTGGTGCAAAAAGGATCTTCCCGGTACAACGGTCAATCGCAAGTGGCGTGCCGACATAATAGTACTCACGACTAAGCATCTGCTCGCCCATACCCATGCCAATCTTCGTCTGGAAGTTGAAGATCATCTCAAACCCAAGATAACACCCGTTTCCGCACTGGAAGTACTCTGTGGGCCTAATCCTCCCTCCCCTACCAAACACGTTCTTTTCAGCGTAGATGTCCTCGTTCAGGTGCAGGTCCTTCTGCGCCTTCGACACGCCCCGCGGGTCGTCATGTAGATTGCGTTCAGGAAGTCAGGATTGTCCATGGTGCAGCTTGCCGCCAATCCATACCATGGACCGCGCACACAGTGTACCGAACGTCTGTCCCTTTCCAGCAACAAGATCGCCGAGGATACCGATGTCCTCCGAGAAGATGTACTCGCACGTGCCAACGATCGCAACGGGGTCTGCCCAAATTCTTCTGCGTCCCGCCGTGAATATGGGCCGGTCTCGCTCGTCTGTCTGTAGCTCCTCAAATTCACCCGGGATGTTCTGGATCTTGAGACAGTGATTGCGTGATATGAAGACAAAGGCGAGGAGGAGGATGTGTCCGGCCGCTGCTGTCGCTGCTGCTTCTGCGGTTGCTCGTAGTGGGACCGAGTCGCCTGACTTGCCAGCCAGGACAGCCCGTGCGGCGAGGCCAATTGAGCATAAGAGCATGCATGATGGGGTTGATGTTCTTGCTGCTGCTGCCACCGCCGCCACATTCGTATTCGAAGCGCTCCTGACGTATGTATAGTCTTCCTCATGTCGCAAGCAAAACCGTTCCTCGAGCTGCCGCCTGCGATGCTCTTCCTCCGCCTCTTGCTGCTGGCAGACGAGCTCGTAGCTCGTCAAAACATAGTGGCCGAGCACGCAGGTGGGTCCACTCATGCAAACCGCACTGGTTACACGCGGTCTTGCCCCAGTTCAACATCGACCTGCGCCAGAAAGGCAGCTCAGTCATGTGAGAATTGAAACGCTGTTGGCGAAGATATTGCTCGAGCTCCTGGTGTAACAAGTCCCAGTCCGTCCACAGATGGTGTTGCGCGATTCTTCGAACAGAGGCAGCGCCTGTTTGGTCAGCCACTGAATGATCCTGCCTCGCAGCTAAGGCGCGACAATGGGATGTCGAGCAACACCCGGGTAGACGTCGTCACCTCATCTCAAGCTCATCGGGTTCCGGTGCACAGTCGTCGTTGCCACCCATCGTCAGCAGTGTGTGCGTGTAGAGCTCCGACAGAAACAGGACCACCTGCAGATGCGCACTCGGGGATGATGACTGTTGCTTGGCGTCCACCAATCCTGATCGCACCCAGCACCTCGATCCACTTGCTCCACCACACCCCCTCCAGTGACAAAGACCATGTGGAACAGCGCTGCCCGGCTCGAGTCCGGATCCTACTGCGTGGCCGCCAGTAACGTATTGGCCTTGCTCCGCTGTAGTCTGAATCGCCGCTGACCAACATGGTATGCGACCCCCTCCCCGGCCGCATCAACGGCCCAGTCGAGCACCCAGTAGATCCCATCCCAATCCGCAAGACAGTTGTTTGGATATTTGCGGATAAATCCAGCGGCGGCGTCGGCGAATCGACGTTGCATTTCAGTCGCTGCATCTCCATGTGGCGCGAAGCGACTGCGTATGTACCGGCGTTTGTGGGGGAGGACGTGCAATGAGTGCGTGTGGCGTCAATCGAGAAATGAGATAACCGCGTCTGCTCGGACCTGGTGGCTTTGTCAGCGATCATCGCCGACGAGAGTGCATACGGGTGACTGGGGATTTGGGGTGCAAAGCAGCGTTGGTACGCCTAGAAAAGTTCTGGATGCTTTGATGAGATAGGGACAGGTGTTGCCGGAGGACACGCACCGAAATGTCGATACATTGTCAACATCCACTTGTAACCCATGAATGAGATCCTATCTCGAGTGACGCGCATGAAGATTGAGGGCCTCTGACTGCTCGACGTCCTGTAGGAGCCCTCCATAAACGAAACGCTGCGAACATCTCGGGAGCCGACCCGTCGCTGTGGCCCGAGAGCAGGAATGGACACCAGCAAAGAGCAACCAAAAGTAGGCATGCCCATCTGCTAACAATTGGCGACCATCAGCTCCGAGAAGAGACCCGACCGTTGCTGGACCTCGCGTGCTTCAGAACCACAACATTTCGTCTTCCAGCTGAATTGAGGTGAGAGCGCCGAGGAATCACGGGCGCTGGCGCCAAGTATGGCTCGCACAGACACGCTGTCTCTTCGTATGGTGTGAGAGGGCCAATCACAAAATCCGAGTCGATTCCCGACGCGTCGCGAGAGAAAGAGAATGCAGAATGTCGTTGTTGCTGCTGTAGTGCTACTGCATTTGAGTGTCGTGACGAGCGTGATGTGGTGACAGAACTTGTTTCTTCCTTATCCACTTCGAACGAAACACGTTTGTGAACAGCCGGTTTCAGTCCGATGCAAACCGCATCGCTCTAGTGATGGACGTACACTGCATCCATGGTGAAGAACAACATTCTGTCTGATGTTGCTGTGGAGCGTGTGAGCGCCGTGCACCACGAGGAGAACCATCTCGGCCGAGGTCAGGAAGATCGGAGCTCTGGACTGCCTTATAAAACATCGGATTAGCTATGACAGTGCGACTTCGAGAAGAGCTGCGAGAGACGGAACGATCTCATCACATGTGACCAAGCACAACAGGCCTGTCCGAGTCTACACTGTCCTTTTTGAAACTATCCGGCATTCCCATTCGCTCAGTGAGATTCTACAACGACTAATGGACATATGTGTGACTCCTAGGACCTATGCTGTCTCTCTAGTGCTTGACGCCATCCGTCCATCTCCGATGTAGAAGCGCCAATGGACTGCCATGCCCCTGGAATACGCCGCCGATCAATCTACGTGTTGTCCAAGCTTGTTTTAGCTTCTTTGAGCACCTGTGTCCTAATCCGCCACTCAGACGTTGGGCGCTTGGTGGCTGTGAACCGTGGCATTTTCCTGGTGAGGCGGTGTGCACGGAGAAACACTATTTGAACCCAGGGCACAGCAGTTTCCCGTCTGCCTAAGCCTTTGACCATGCCAAAAGCTGAAAAACGACAGACCAAGAAAAGAGAGACCGATGAAGCACATCTCGAGCGCCAGAGGGCCGGTGGGAACAAGCTCTGGGGTGTCTACATCTCCGAGGCGGAGAAGTACAATCAGGGTCTGATTGATGGCTGGCGCAGCGACATGGATGGACTGCTGCTCTTCGTACGTCTCCAACTATTCTTGATCCTGGCCAACCTTTGAATGTGACTCCTCAGGCTGGTCTCTTTTCTGGTGTTGTCACGACATTCATCATCGATGGTTACAAGACGCTGAACCCCGATTCGGGGAGCCAGACCGTCGCACTGCTCAGCCAGATCTCGCAGCAGCTCGCGAACCTGAACAACGGCACAGCTGTGACAGACGTACTCCTACCTACCGCTCCTTTCTCGCCGCCGATCTCAGCTCTCGTCTGCAACGCACTCTGGTTCACCAGCCTCGCACTCAGTCTGTCCAGCGCACTTGTCGCGACTCTGGTCGAGCAGTGGGCACGGGAGTACCAGCACCGGACTACCATGTTCTCGTCCCCCTCCATCCGATCCCGTGTATACATGTATCTGTATCATGGTTTGCAACGTTTCAATATGCATGCTATCGTCGGTGTCCCGCTGCTTCTCCTGCATGCATCGCTGGTCCTGTTCTTTGCGGGTCTGGTCGCATTTCTGGTGCCCGTCAACGTCATCATCATGGGCATAACATCGGTTCTGCTGCTCCTCTTCGTTACGGTCTACGGAGCGTTCACGCTGCTCCCGCTTTTCTGCTTTGACAGTCCATTCCAGACGCCACTCACGCAATTCCTCTGGTCACTGAACCAGAGCTTGGGAAGCATGCTGAAAACTTATATTCGCAAGGCTCGTGTTCGAAACAGAGTCTCTCTGACCGACAAAGAGGCCCTCGCTGATTCATCTGACCCTGGAGACACTCGTCCTCGGAACCAGAGCATGGCGGATGCCCTGAAATGGACAGCATTGCATCGTCCTGTGGAGACTGCTGTCAAGACAGAGACGCGAGCTGTTGCTTGGACCATGCGCTCTCTCTCTGACGATCTTGAGTTCGGTCCGTTTGTGGAGGGGCTCGCCGAAGCGCTGTGGGATTTTGACAGACGGGAGCCCTGCGGCGCGTATCAGGCACATTTCAAGATCCTGTTGCAGGATTCAGAAGTCCGTCTCTGCCAGCGTCTTGTCGATTTCATGGCTGGGTCCAACAGCTATGTGCTCGAGCGCAAGGACCGCCTCCGCCGCCAGCTGTCTGTGCTCCGGGCCATCTGGGCCATTTGCGCGTTCTCTCTGCACACCTGGTCGCCTCTACAAAGTCCGATCGGAGAAGCCGACGTGGACAACGCGCTGCTTGGCTCGAAATTTCTCGATTCTCCCGACGTGCAGAGCTTGGTCCTTGACGTGTCCGCTCTGATCCGTCTAAACATGATCGAGTCTCGGAGCCGGGATCGGGCCTCCACACAGCCGAGAAACTCTGACGTTAGAGCGGAGGAGCGACAGCAAGCGGACATGCAACGGATGTATCTGGAATATCTGAAGGCACTTTCCCAATGCGCTGCCAGCTTCCAACGGGATGTGACCAACGCACTCTTTTATCGATCACAAATGCGGTTCACGGAAGAGGACAACTATGAAACTCTGCATGACGCTCTCAAACAGCTGATCGAATCAGCGTTGAACAAGACAGCAGACGAGACAACAGCAGACAACGTTGTTTTTGCTACTCGTCTGATGATCAGCCAGTTTGCCCAGATATCGGACTATCCATCGTGGTCGCTGGAGGGTCTTGGGCCATTCCTTGTCCGACATCCGTCCCTCGCCGTCTCCGACCCGGAATTTGACTCGGAGCATCATTACACCCGGTTCCTGTGCGACATGCTATGCGACAACTTGGAGTTCCGATTCGATCCCCAGGAATCTGTTGACGCCCTCCAGCTGATTTATCGGAATTTGCTCGAGTCCCATGAGCCACCAAGAGATTTGGATACCCACCTTCGGGTCCTGCACACTCTGCGGACAAAAGCAGCCGACATCCACACGCACCGTTTGTCTGCCATCTTCCAGTGCGTCGTGCTCAAAAGTTGCAAGGACTATGTGTCAGAATCCAGGGATCTGTCGGAATGGGAGCGATTGCCAAGTATCTTCGATGATGAGGGCTGGTTCCGTGCCGTGCTCGGCCTTGACAAGAATGAGCAGGCAGAGCGGGCATCGGCACAGCAAATTTACGACTGTGCACGTGTAGGTCTTTGGACCACTTTGTTCGAGCAGTGTGCTGCCCGGAGTCCGGATCAAACTGAACGGGACCTAGACTTTGAGACTCTCAAATTAATACGCCACGCAGACAACTACCAATTGTCACGAGAGTTATACGCGCTCACCTGCATTTTTTCTGTGATCCCAACAGAACTGCAACGTCGATTCGCCGACGCCGCCGCCGGATTCATCCGCAAATATCCGAGGGACTGTCTTGCGGATGAGAATGTGCTCGACTCGGTGCTTGCCTTGGCCGTTGCTGAGTACGGCGGGTGGATCACCGATGAGGATGCATTGCGCGTCCTGGAAACGGCTGTGTCGGAGGTGCAGACGGACGATCAGCAGGAATCACACCGGGACAATGCTCAACGCATCCGCGAACTGATGCCTTTTCCCGAGAACATCTTTGCTGCCTTTTTCTCGCTCGTGAGTGACGGGGAGTGAAGATAACATCACAGGGGGTGCCATTTTCCATTGATTTAGCCTACAACCCATGTATTTTGCATGTTCAACGTATGACCCTCCGCCGATTCAGTCTTCGAGCGTCCATACATGTTTATCACGGTCACCCAGATCGGATCGTCCGGACCGCACGTCACGGGATTCTCTCCAGGGCGATTCCAATAACGGGCACCAGGAAGGCGGTGTTTCGGTCGGCTTCACTTTCGTCGCCAGTGTATGCCTCTTCGCACGGAGAATCAACAGCTCGTTCTTTTTGGGCCCGGACGGCTCAAAGGTGCCGTTTGGGATCATCGCTGCAGCGCCCCGTATGGTCGGCCGCTCGGTGATCGGCAGGAACTTGCCTGCTCTGGAATTATAGCACGCCCACAGGAGACAGCATGATCTGTGGGGCGTTGGAACTGAAGAGACAAACAACCAGATGCACAAGACATCTCACCGACACAGCAAAAGCCTATGTCCACAGCACACGGCAACCATTCTAAGACAGCAACAACTTGCGACTACTTTCTCAGAGTAGGGAGCAGCCCACACGCACAATTGCAGACCGGCAAGAAGGTCGGTGCAGAAGGTATCTTCACAGGGTCATTCGGGTGGTTGGAGATGGTATGTGCGAAGGAGTGTCGATGAACGTAGAGAAGCGCTCAGTGCGCTGATGCAGTGTCAATGGGCAGTAGAATCCCCTCGTATCGATTGCTTTTGCGCATCACATCGTCCCGTCGAATTGACATGGCGGTGCCGAAGATCCACAGGGCTTGCTCGAGTATAGCTCAGGGCATGACATCGAATCCATCCAGCTAGCTGATCAGACTCGGATGTACACCCGTCAAGAAACAAATTCTCCGTGGAACGCTGCTGAGGTGAATCTGAGAACGGGTGCCCCGGAGGTTGACGTTTCGGCAGCCTTGGTTCTTACCGTCGGTGTATGCGTCTTCCTGCTGAGCCTCGACAGTTCATCGTTTTCGGCCCGGGACGGCTTGGAGAAGTTGTGCGGGATCCCGTTGCACAATGCATCGAGATGTAGCGCCTATTTGGTGTGCCGCTGAATGTTTAGCATGTTGTGAAGCTAGGGTATGACAATGGGAAGTCGAGCAACGGGAGTTCGAACGTTGTCACCTCATCCCAAGCTAATCGGTTTCCAGAGTCCAGCCATCGTCGTCGACGTGCCAAAGAGCCCGGCGTCGCCCATCGTCAGTAGCGCCTGCGAGTAAGGGTCCAAGAAGAAGAGGACCGCCTGCAGAGTCACACCCGGGGCATGACACAAAATACAGCACGATCTTGGTGAGCCTAGGGAAGCGCTGGATGTCTGGATGAGAGAGACATAGGCTTTACCTGAGGGTACGCACCGCAATGTCGATGCATTGTCGACATCCACCACATACTCGTGAATGGGATCCCATCTCGGGTGACGTACATGAAGATTGAGGGATGCCATTCTCGACCTCTGACTGCTCGACCTCCGACGGGAGCACGCAGTGAACGTAGGGCAGCACACATGTCGGCAGCCGATCCGGCGGTGTCGCGTCACCCAATCCACCAAAGCACAGATCATAGACGAGGTCGTGGGCGGTACCAATGAGCAGTCGACTGTCGACCGACCAGAGCAAGTTCGAGTGCTTATTGTGGCAGTCACGCAAGAACCGCGTGACACATAGAAGACCCGAGGCGAAACAGCCCCAAGTCAAAATTGGATTGCAGCGAAATTCTGCCCTCGCCAGTCTACGGATCATGATCCCGCTAGTTGAGCACAATCGCGCCTATGCGTTCTGCGGCCATGGCGTCTGCCGCTGTGTCGCAATCACAGAGCGCGACTGTCCCCAGAGGATCAATTATCATGCACACATCTCCAAGTCACGAACACCGCCTTGCACGCAAGCATGGACATGCAACGTAGTCAATCTTGCGTCTAGACAAGCGTCCGCCAATCCCGCTCGGAGATATGACCTTTGACGGTTATAGCTTCCAATACTCTCGCAGTCTAGCATCCTCCGCCGCCAGCCCACGCATCGCGCGGTCCGAGGTGCCATGCGAGTCGGAATGTTCCGCTGCCAGTGGGTGATCGCAGTCGTAGTCATTCGGCTGGTGTCGTAACAGAGACCGCAGCTACGACTACTGCGACTGTTGCTTGGGTTGTATGGCTGAAGACAATGCGCCCATTTCCACCGTCTCAGGGGTCGAGCGGCCAGACGGGGTGGGGCGCGAGTGCCCATGGCTGACATGGCCGGGCCGGGCCACTACGTGATGTGATGCGACGACAAAAACGGGGAGGATGTGGCTTGCCACCGCCGCTCGTAGTGGACCCAGTCGGCTCCCATGCTGGTCGAGCCAGCCCATGCGGCGGAACCAGCTGGACGTTAAAATTGTGCATGATATTGTGCTGTTGTCTTTTGCCGCTGATATCCTTGTCGTTGGCATTGGCGTTGCTGCAGCGCATGCGAGAAACGGGGGAGAGACGTGCGACCCAAGATCTGGAGCATACAGGTCAGCGAGCTGATCGCTGAGCGAAATAGCGTGTTTCATACCATCACAGAGGAGCCAGAAGAACCACGGGCATAGGAGCAGATGAATAGAAATATGAACAGAGGCCGCAAGAAAGTCTAGGCAGTGGCCGGACCCCGTGCCCTGACAGACCATTCGTGCACAGTTCAGGATCACCATCTGGGGTGGCAAAAGTCACAGAGCCAGACGCACTCTCGAATCCGGCCTCGTGGAGCGTATTCACGTCAAAAACGCGACATTCGCAGATGTGGGAGGCCGGAAAGAACTGCCAGATCGATGGCTGGCTGGTAAGGGAGCGTAGAATTGAGAGGACTGTCGATACACAGCTCTGCAACAGCGAGGAAAGCGTCCGTGATCTGACGAGAGGAAGATCACGAGTGGAGAGCCCGGCGGCCTGCCAGATTGGGCGACCAGGATGAGTCCTCAAAGCTGTCTCGAGGTCGTTCCATAAGATCCTGAGGAGACACAGGACCAGGTTAGGATTTGATTGGAGCGGGAATCGAGATCTGTTTATGACTGTGTCGACTGAGTACAGCCGTAAGCCTGCGGCTCGTCAAAACAGAGCAGCCAAGCATGCAGGTGGGTGCGCTGATAGAAACTGCACTTGTTACACGCGCAATCCTGGCCTGGCTGTGCGTCGATCGGTGCCCGAGAGGCGGCTCAGTAGTGCGGAAGTTGAAACGCCCTCAGGTGACTGCACTATCCAAGTGCTGCGGCGGAGGCGGCAGCTGGGGTACGGTTGGCTTGTGCAGGATGGGGTTCGCATGAGGAGTACGCACGCGAGAGACTGGTAACAGACACGTCAAGCAGATATCTGTAGCATGCAAGCCAGCGACCTAGCGCGGCGGAGACAATCGCAGGGTCGAGCATCGCCTGCAGAGTTGCTTTCGGGGTCTGGTTCGACGGCGTCCTGGGATAACCCATCATTCAGCCAGGACAGTCCACCTGGGTGGAAACTGCGTGGGCCAACACGCAGACGCGCAAACGCGCACTACAGCTATTTGATGACAGTCGCCCGATGTCCACCAACGATAATCGCACCCAGCCCCTCGCTCTACTTGCTCGGCCACACCCGCTTCGGGGCCACACCCGCTTCAGAGATAGACTCTGTGGAACGGTACGGCCCGGCTCCAGTCCGGATGACGCGTCTGCGTCTTGGTGTTAAGCACGGGCAACACCACGAGCAGCGCACTCAGCACGAATTTCAACAGGACTGACACCAGTGTGGCGGGCGCGGTTTATCAGAGTGAACTGGGACTGGCTGAAGGACGGTGTCTCGAGATTCGGGCATGGCATGTGCGTCGTACTTTCCAAGTTTGGCAGCTTGGCGAGAAACTCGAGCACGTCCGAGAGCACGCGAACTCGCGCTAGGAAGGCGGTGTTTCGGTCGGCTTGGTTGTTGCTGTTCGTGTGCGCGCGTTCTCCCTGAAGATGGATAGCCCTTCGTTCTCGGCCCAGGACAGCTCGAAGACGTTGCTCGGGATCAACGCGCCAGCGCCCGTTTTGTCAGCCGCAGGGTGATCGGCGCGAACTTGCCTGCTCCGGATCTAAGGCATGTCCAGGCGACACAGAACGATCTGTGGCTTGTTTAAAATGAAGAGACAGAAAACCGGATGCAGGAGACCACTTACCAACGCTGAAAACGCATGTGTGCACGGCATCCACCAGGGCGCAATCTCCGACAGAATCAGTTTTCACTGCTTCCTCAGAGCAGGGAGCAATCCACATGCACAGTGGTGGCCAGCCAGGTACGTCGGCACATAAGGGATCTTCACAGGATCTTTTGGGTGGTAGAAGATAGATGCGCCGACAAGACAAACACGCGGGTGTCCTTCTGTAAACGCAGCGTGTCGATACATTTTCGGCACCCAATGACATGGTCTGGATGCGATAGCGGGATCCCAGAAGCGTCGATACCTTGTCGGGATCGAGTGATACATGAATGCGATAGCAGGATCCTATCAGGAATGGCGTACATGGAGATGACGAAAGGTAGGGAGCATGTCAGCAGTTGACGCGTCGCAATGGCCTGAAAGCTGGAATGAACACCGAGAGAGAGCGAATGGAAGCGATCCTGCTCACCTGCGAGCAATCGCCGACCTAGAGCTCCCAGATGACATCACGCCGTTGCCGGTCCTCGCGTGCTTCTGAGCCCAATCTGGGATAGTGACGGGAAGAGGAGCGTCAGAGAGGAGCAGAGAGGCTAGGACTGAATATGATACATTTCACTGACGCAAGCCAGTCTAACGCCACAGAGTCAGATCACGAAGCTGAGGTGTGATGAAGCGACCCACGATTTGTGCCAGTTTTACAGGAAGCTCAAGGGTAGCCCAAGTTTTCTCGATGTAGTGTTCTCTCCAGCACGGAACGAACGCTCGAATATCGCCATGAACGCCATTGTCCCCACAGTTTCGAAGTTCAAAAGCGATCTCTGAGTAAACCGCGCGAGTGGGTTTGTTTCCGTCGCATTCGGATCGTGGGTGCCAGAATAAGGTAGATGAGAGGGCGAGGCTGTGTACAGCACTAATGGCCAGTGAGCTCCCTCGCATCGTCTCGATTTCTCTGGTGCATTAGGGTGTCACAGCGGATGCATCTTCCAGCTGACTTGCGTGAGAGCGTCGGAGAATGACGGCGCCTGCGCCAACTATAGGTGGGACAAACGGGCTGTCTACGTGGATGGTGCGAGACGGCCCATCAGAAAGTCGCAGTCGATTCCCGACGCGTCGTCAGAGAGCGGGGATGCAGAAATGTAAGTAGTTGCTGCCGCTACCGCATTCGAGATTCGTGACAGTCGTGACGCTGTGCGACGGCACGTGTTTCTTCCTGTCCACTTCAATCGAAAGGTATTTGTGAACAACCAATTTCATTTCGATGTGGACAGCATCGCTCTCAGGATGGGCGTGTGCTGCAGCCATGGTGAAGAACGGCATCCTTTCTGATGTTGCTGTCGGCCGAGGTCAGGAAGATCAGAACTCTCGACTGCCTGACAAAACATCAGATTAGCTATGGCGGTGCGACTTTGAAAAGAGCTGGGACGATCGCATTGCATCGCAAAAGACCAAGTAGTGGAATGGGGCTATACGAGTCTACCCTCTCCGTTTCGAAACTACGTGTCTGGCTGGATTTTGACGCCTCCCGCTCGCTCACTGGGATTCTGCGGGAACTCATGCACAAATGCGCGCCTCCTGGGACCGGTATTGTCTCACCAGGGCTTGATGCCATCCGTCGATCTGCCAGAAGCGCCGATGGACTGGCATTCCCTGGGATACGCCAGCGGCCAATCTTTGTGCCGTCCTAGCTTGCGTTGGCTTCCTTGAGCGCTTATGTCTAAATCCGCCACTCTGGCGCTGGGCTCTTGGTGGCTGTGAGCCGTGGCATCGTCCTGGTGAGGCAGCGTGCATGAAGCAACGCTGCGCGGACACGAGGCAAACCACTTCAACTCTTGCCTTTGACCATGCCACAAGCTGAGGAACAACAGACCGACCAACGAAAGGCAGAAGAAGAGCGTATCGAGCGTGAGAGGGCGAGCGGGAACAAACTTTGGAGCGCCTACATCGCCGAGGCGCAAAACTACGATCAGGGTCTCCTCGATGGCTGGCGCAGCGAGATGGATGGTCTGCTGATCTTTGTGCGTCTCCGACCGTTCTCGATCCTGGGCTCCCTCTGAATTCAACTTGTCAGGCCGGTCTCTTCTCGGGCGTTATCACCACTTTCATAATTGATAGCTATAAAACGCTCAACCCTGATTCGGGCAGTCAGACAGTCGTACTGCTAACCCAAACCGTTGCACTTCTCGGCCAGATCTCGCTCCAACTCGCGAACATGAACAATGGGACGGCGATGGTGGATGCACTGCCTCCCACCGCTGCGTTCTCGCCCCCGGCATCCTCCCTCGTCTGCAATGTGCTCTGGTTCACCAGCCTTGCACTCAGCTTGTCCAGCGCACTCGTCGCCACTCTCGTCAAGCAGTGGGCGCAGGAGTACCAGCACCGGACATCGATGTACTCGTCTCCCTCTGTCCGTGCGCGCGTGTACATGTATCTGTACTATGGCTTACGACGGTTCAATATGCACGCCGTTGTTGGCGTTCCCCCGCTTCTGCTGCACGCGGCACTACTCCTGTTCTTTGCGGGCCTCGTTGCCTTTCTCGTGCCCATCAACGTCATTATCACGGGCATCTCCTCCGCTCTGCTGCTCCTCTTCGTTGTGGTCTATGCGACGTTCACTGCGCATCCGCTGTTTTTCCTCGACAGTCCGTACCAGACACCACTCACACGGATCCTCTGGTCGCTGAATCAGAGCTTGGGACGTGTGCTGAGGGCTTACATTCAGAGAGTAGCGGATATTTGCAGGGCCTTCATCCGAGCCAAAGTCGCGCTGTCAGACCCCGAGAAAGCTACGGAATCGGCTGTGACGAGCCCTGGCGTCTCTGGCGAGGCTGAAGACACGCATCCGCAGTCCCAGAGCATGATTGTGGCAGTGAAAACAGCCGCACTGCATCCCGCTGTCGAGACGGAGATCCGGGCGCTCACGTGGACCATCCGGTCTCAATCTGATGACGATGATCTTGAGCGACTGGTCGTGGGGCTCCCTGTGTTGTGGGATTTCGATCGAAATGAGCCTCGTAGCGTGTACGTGGGGCATTTCCAGAAGCTGTTGTGGGATCCGGAAGTCCATCTCTGCCAGCGTCTTGCGGATTTCATGGCTGGCTCCAACAGCAACCTGCTTGAAGACAAAGACCGTCTCCGCCGGCAGCTGTCCGTGCTCCGGGCCATCTGGGCCATCTGCGCGTTCTCTCTTCACACGGGGTCACCTCTGCCCAGCCCGATCGGAGACACCGACGTGGACAACGCGTTGCTCGGCTCCAAGTTTCACGTTTCTCCTGATGTGCAGAGCATGGTCCCTGCCCTGTCCGCTTTGATCCGCCTGAACATGATCGGGTCTCGGAGCCGGGAGTGGGCCCCCACACAGCCGAGTAACTCCGACGCTGAAGCGGAGAGGCGACGGCACATAGACATGCATGAGATGTATCTGGATTATCTGTTGGCACTGTCCAAATGCATTGCCAGCTTCCAACGGGATGCGACCATTTCACTCTTTGATCGGTCACAAATGCGGTTCACGGAAGCGGATGGCTACGAAACTCTGCAACGGGCTCTCCACGAGCTGATCAAATCCGCGTTGGAGAAGACAGCGGACGAGACAGCAGACAACGTCGTCTTTGCTGCTCGTCAGATGATCAGCCAGTTTGCTCAGACATCGGAATATCCCCGTTGGTCGGTGTGGCGTCTTGGGCCGTTCCTTGTCCGACATCCGTCCCTCGCCGTCTCCGAGCCGGGATTCGACTCAAAGCATCATTACACCCGGTACCTGTGCCACATGCTATGCAGGAACTTGAAGAACAAAGAAAATCCCCAGGAATCTGTCGACGCCCTCCACCTGATTTATCGGAATTTGCTCAAGTCTGATAGAGACTTTGATACTCATCTTCTTGTCCTCCGCACTCTGCAGAATGAAGCAGGCGACATCGGCACACACCGTTTGGCAGCCATCGTCCAGTCTGTCGTGCTCAAAAGTTGCAATGATTCATCAGAACGGGAGAAAATGCAGAGTATCTTCAGCAACGAGGGCTGGTTCCGCTCCGTGCTCGGCCTTGACAACGATAAACCGACGGAGCAGGCATCGGCTGAGCAAATTTTCGACTATGTCCGTGTGGGTGTTTTGACCACTTTCTTCGAGCAGTGTGCCGCCCGGAGTCCGGATCAAACAGAACGGGACCCGGACTTTGCAACGCTCGAATTGGTGGCACGCCACGCAGACATGCGCATTCTTTCTGTGATCCCGACTGGACTGCAACGCCGCTTCGCCGACGCCGCGTCTGCATTCATCCGCAAATATCCAAAGAACTGCCTTGCGCATGACGATGGGCTCCACAGGGTGCTTTTCTGGGTCGTCCATGAGCACTGGGGGTGGTTGACCGATGTGGATGCATTACGCGTCCTGGACGTGGCTGTGTCGGAGGTGCAGACGGAAGACCAGCAGGAATCACACCGGGAACATGCTCAAGAGATCCGCGGATACATGCAGGACCGGCTGTATCCCGAGGACATCTTTGCCGCCTTTGTCTCGCTGGTGAGTGACGGCAAGTGAAGGCAAATTTCTATTTATTTAGCCTACAATCCGTGTGTTCTGTATGTTGAACGAGATCCCCTTCACTGCGTGTGAGACCCTCCGTCGATCCAGTCTTCGCGCCTCCATCCACGTTTGTTACGGTCACGCAGATCAGATCGTCCGGACCACATGTCACAGAACTCTTCCGAGGGCAAATCCAATAACAAGCACGAGGACGGCGGTGTTTTGGTGGGCCTCACTTTCGTCGTCAGCGTATGTCTCTTCCCGCTGAAGATCGACAGCTCGTCCTTTTGGGGCCCGGACGGCCCGCTCGAAGGTGCCAGTTGGCATTATTGTTCCAGTGCCCCATTTGTTCGGCCGCTCGCCGGTCGGCATCATGATGAACGTGTCTGCTCTGGATCTATGGCGCGTCGGCGGGAGAAGGCATGATCTGTGGGACGTTGGAGCTGAAGAGACGGACCACCAGATGCACAAAACAACTCACCGATACAGATCTAGGAACTCATCGTCCTACACCAGAGACGGCTCGACGTCTTGCAGTAGCTCACGATCCACGAAGGACAGTGGGCAGGTCGCTAACAGACGCGTTTCCAGAGCCTAAGAATCGCAATGAACACCAAGACAGAGCACGCACAAGCAAGCCTACTCACCTGCCAACGATCGGTGATGCACAGCTCCCAGACAGCAGCGCACCGTGTATGCGCCCCGGGTGCTCTCAATTCCGATGAGCGCAGCCACGGTCTGGAAAGAGGAAAGTCGGGCAGGGCATGGCCGGAGACAATGCAAGCCACTGCCAGAGGCCGGTCTGATGCCATAGAATCAGTCTATGCGATGAATCCGTCCACGTCTTGTGCCCGTTTCGCAGACAGTCCAAAGATTGCCGAAGGTGCGACACAGGTTTCAGTGTCAACGACGCTGTAGTAAGCGCAAACAGAGTACACTGGATCTCTGAGTAATCCGCGTGTGGGTCTGTTTCCACCGCATTCGGATTGTAGGCTGCAGGGAATGGCGTCCGCGTGTCAGCCAATGCACGAAAGCACGGGATAACGTAGAGCAACGTGAGGTCCTGGACAGTGCCAATGGGCAGTAGAATCCCCTCGTGTCGACTGCTTTGGTGCATCATGTCGTCCCGCCGAATTGACGTGGCAGTGTCGAAGATCCACAGGGCTTGCCTCGAGTATAGCTCAGGCTGACACCCGGCGTTTCTACAAGCCATCCGAACGAAAAGGGTTTGCGAAGAACCGGTTTCATTCCGATGGGAACCGCATTTCTCTCAGAAGTGACGTGCCCTACAGCCAGAGTGAAGAAGGACCGTCCATCTGATGTCACTGCGACCCGACCTTCAACATGTGCATCTGCCAACGCTACCACAGTCTCGGATCCTCCGCCGCCAGCCCACGCAGCCCATCGTCCAAGACGTGATGCGAGCCGGAATTCATCGTCGGCGAATACGTCTCCCTGCTGCAGATCGCCAGCTCGTCGTTTCGGCCCGGGATAGCTCGAAGATGCTGTTCGAGATGATCGCTGCAGCGCCGCGCAAATCTTCGAACAGAGGTAGTGTAAGTTTGGTGAGCCGCGGAATAATCCTGCTACGGAGCCAAGGCATGACAGTGGGATGTCGAGCAACAGCCAGCTAAACGTCGACAGCTCATCCAACCTCATCGGGTTGCGGGGCACAGCCGTCGATGACAATGTGCCAGAGAACTCCTCGTTGCCCATCGTCAACAGTGCGCGCGCGTGTGTGTAAAGATCCGATAGAAACAGGATGCCTGCAGAGCCGCTCTCGGGGGCTGATTCGCCGATAGTCCGAACATATTTCGTGACTCTGCGCTTCCAGACACACGACACAACACCGTCCATCCGGGCGTTAACTGCGTGGACCGATGCATGGAGGCGTGGACGCACACCGCAGCCTTGCGATGGCCGTTACCCGATGCCCACCGACAATAACCGCACCCAGCCCCTCGTTCTACTTGCTTGGCCACACCCGCTTCAGCAACAGAATCACGTGGAGCAGCGAGGCCCGGCTCGGGTCCGGATCCTACTTCTACATCTTAGTGTCGAGCGCGGGCAACACCACGGGCTGCACACGTAGCACGAATGTTGACATGACCGACACCAGGGTGGCGGACGCGAGTCTGTTGTCGTCGTCATCGTCGTCTATGTTGACGGTGGGCGCAGCCTTGGTGGCTGAGCGCACATCGAACATGTTCGCTGGAAGCGAATCCACAGGAAGCTGATGTATGTGGCAAGCGTGGCGGGAAGCATAGACTTGTACTGCGGGGCGTGAATGCCCCGAGACTTGCGATGGGGTAGACGCTTACCGCCAAGGTTGATTGGTCGTCTCTTTGTTCGCTTCCATCTATGGCTGTGTAGCGGCTCGGGAGGGAGACAACATGTTCTGCGTGTGTGGAGGCGTCCGTCGAGAAGTAAAAACAGAGTCGACGAGCCTCTTGGCTTTGTCAGCAATCATTGCCAACAGATTTGCACATCGTCGCCCGGTTTTTCTCCTGGAACTGAGCCTGGCTGAAGGACGGTATCTCGAGGTTCAGCCAGGGCGTGTGCGTCGCGCTTTCTGAGTTTGGCAGCTTGGCGAGAAATTCGAGCGCGTCGTCCGAGTACAGTGAGTTCGAGCACGCGAACTCGCGCCAGGAAGGCGGTGTTTTGGTCGGCTTGGCTGTTGTTGTCACTATGCGCGTTCCCGCTGAAGATCGATAACTCCTTGTTTTCGGCCCGGGACGGCTTGAAGACGTCGCTCAGGATTGTCGCCGCAGCGTCCGCTCTGTCAGCCGCTGTGTGATTGGCGCGAACTTGCCTGCTCTGGAGCTAGCGAATTTCCACACGAGACAACGATCTGTGGCGTATTTTAACTGAAGAGACAGACGACCAAATGCAGGGGACTACTCACCAACGCTGAAAAGGCATGTGTCCACGGCATCCACAAGAGAGTAATCTCGGACAGAAACAGTTCTAACTGCAAGTTCCTCAGACCAAGGAGCGATCCAAAAGCACAGTGGTGACCAGGCAGGTACGTCGGCACCAAAAGGGATCGTCACAGGATCATTCGGGTGGTGGGAGATGGATGCGCTGACAAGACAGCACGCGCGTGACCTTGAGTAAACTCAGCGTGTCGATACATTGTCGGCATCCATCGACTCGTGACCTGGATGCGATAGCGGGATCCCAGAAGCGTCGATAGATTGTCGGTGTCGAGTGATTCATGAACGTGATAGCAGGATCCTTTCAGGAATGGCGTGCATGGAGATGACGAAAGGCGGCGAGCATGACGGCGGTGGATCCGTCGCAATGGCCTGAAAGCTGGAATGAAAACCGAGAGAGAGCGAATGGAAGCGATCCTGCTCACCTGCCAGCAATCGCCGACCTAGAGCTCCCAGATGACATCACGCCGTTGCTGGGCCTCGCGTGCTTCTGAGCTCAATCTGGGATAACAACGGGAAGAGGAGCTTCAGAGAGGCTAGGACTGAATATGATACATTTCACTGACGCAAGCCAGTCTAATGCCACAGAGTCAGACCACGAAGCTGAGGTGTGATGAAGCGACCCACGATTTGTGCCAGTTTTACAGGAAGCTCAAGGGTAGCCCAAGTGTTCTCTCCAGCACGGAACGAACGCTCGAATATCGCCATGAACGCCATTGTCCCCACAGTTTCGAAGTGCAAAAGCAATCTCTGAGTGACCCGCGCGAGTGGGTCTGTTTCCGTCGCATTCGGATCGTGGGTGCCAGAATAAGGTAGATGAGAGGGCGAGGTCGTGTACAGGACTAATTGCCAGTGAACTCCCTCCCATCGTCTCGATTTCTCTGGTGCATTGGGTGTCACAGCGGATGCATCTTCCAGCTGAGTTGCGTGAGAGCGTCGGAGAATGACGGCGCCTGTGCCAACTCTAGGTGGGACAAACGGGCTGTCTGCGTGGATGGTGCGAGACGGCCCGTCAAAAAGTCGCAGTAGATTCCCGACGCGTCGCCAGAGAGTGGGGATGCAGAATGTAAGTAGTTGCTGCCGCTACTAGTACCGCATTCGAGATTCGTGACAGTCGTGACGCTGTACGCCGGCACGTGTTTCTTCCTGTCCACTTTAATCGAAAGGTATTTGTGAACAACCAATTTCATTTCGATGCGGACAGCATCGCTCTCAGGATGGGCATGCGCTGCATCCATGGTGAAGAACGGCATCCTTTCTGATGTTGCCCTCGGCCGAGGTCGGGAAGATCGAAACTCTCGACTGCCTGACAAGACATCAGATTGGCCATGACAGTGCGACTTTGAAAAGAGCTGGGATGATCACATTGCATCGCATGCAACCAAGCAGTACAACGGGGCTAGACGAGTCTACTCTCCGTTTCGAAACTCTGCGTGTGGCTGGATTTTGACGCCTCCCGTTCGCTCACTGGGATTCTACAGCGACTCATTCACAAATGCGCGCCTCCTGGGATCGGTACTATCTCACCAGGGCTTGATGCCATCCGTCCATCTGCCAGAAGCGCCGATGACCTGCTATGCCCCAGGATACGCCGCCGGCCAATCTTTGTGCCGCCCGAGCTTTCTTTGGCTTCCTTGAGCGTCGGTGTCTCAATCCGCCACTCTGGCGCTGGGCGCTTGGTGGCTGTAAGCCGTGGCATTGTCATGGTGAGGCAGTGTGGATGGAGAAACGCTGTGTGGATACAAGGCAAAGTAGTTTCCCTCCCGCCTTTGACCATGTCGCAAGCTGAGAAACACCAGGCCGACAAACGCAAGGCAGAAGAAGAGAGTATCGAGCGCGAGAGGGCCAGCGGAAACAAGCTCTGGAGCGCCTACATCACCGAGGCGCAAAACTACGATCAGGGTCTCCTCGATGGCTGGCGCAGTGAGATGGATGGTCTGCTGATCTTTGTGTGTCTCCGACCGTTCTCGATCCTGGCCACCTTCTGAATTTGACTCATCAGGCCGGTCTCTTCTCGGGCGTTATCACCACATTCATCATTGATAGTTACAAGACCCTGAACGCTGACTCGGGCAGCCAGACTGTCGTGCTCCTCAGCCAGACCGTTGCGCTCCTCGGCCAGATCTCGCTTCAGCTCGCGCACATGAACAACGGGACTGCAATGGCGGACGCACTCCCTCCCGCCGCTGCCTTTTCGCCCCCGGCCTCCTCCCTGGTCTGCGACATGCTCTGGTTCACGAGTCTTGCGCTGAGCTTGTCGAGTGCCCTTGTCGCGACTCTGGTCAAGCAGTGGGCACAGGAGTACCAGCACCGGACGTCGATGTTCTCGTCTCCCTCTGTCCGCGCTCGTGTGTACATGTATCTTTACTACGGTTTACGACGCTTCAATATGCATGCCGTTGTCAGCGTTCCGCCGCTTCTGCTGCACGCTTCACTACTACTGTTCTTTGCGGGTCTCGTTGCCTTTCTGGTGCCCATCAACATCATCATCATGGGCATCTCCTCTGCTCTGTTGCTCCTCTTCGTTGCAGTCTATGCAACGTTCACTGCACACCCGCTGTTCTACCTCGACAGTCCGTTCCAGACACCCCTCACACGCATCCTCTGGTCGCTGAATCAGAGCTTTGGACGCGCACTGAGGGTTTATATTTGGAGGGCAATGGCTAGTTGCAAGGCCTTCATCCGAACCGAAGTCGCTGTGGCAGACCCCGAGAAAGCCACGGAATCTGCTGTGACGAGCCCTGGGGCCTCTGGCGAGGCTTCTACCGCTGGTGACACTCGTCTGCAGTCCCAGAGCATGATTGTGGCAGTGAAATCAGCCGCACTGCATCCCACCGTTGACACGGAGATGCGGGCTCTCACGTGGACCGTCCGGTGTCTCTCTGACGACGATGATCTTGAGAGACTGGTTGAGGGGCTCCCCGCACTGTGGGATTTCGATCAAAATCAGCCTCGTCGCGTGTATGAGGCGCATTTCCACAGTTTGTTGGAAAACCCGGAAATCCATCTCTGCCAGCGTCTCGCCGATTTCATGGTCGGCTCCACAAGCAATCTGCTTGAGGACAAAGTCCGTGTCCGTCGCCAGCTGTCTGTGCTCCGGGCCATCTGGGCCATCTGCGCGTTCTCTCTTCACACGGGGTCGCCTCTGCAAAGTCCGATCGGAGAAGCGGACATGGACAAGGCGCTGCTCGGCTCAATGTTTCTTGATTCTCCTGACGTGCAGAGCATGGTCCTTGACGTGTCCGCTTTGATCCGCCTGAACGTCATCGAGTCTCGGAACCGGCAGTGGGCCCCCACACAGACAAGCGACGCCGACGCCGAAGTGGAGAGGCAACGGCACACAGACATGCATCGGACGTATCTGGATTATCTTCTGGTACTTTCCAAATGCGCTGCCACCTTCCAACGGGATGTGACCTGTTCACTCTTTGATCGGTCACGGCTGCGGTTCACGGAAGCGGATGGCTACGAAACTCTGCGTTGGGCTCTTCATCAGCTGATCGATTCAGCGTTTGCCAAGACAGCGGACGAGACAGCGGACAACGTCGTCTTTGCTGCTCGTCAGATCATCAGCCAGTTTGCCCAGACATCGGAATATCCATGGTGGTCGCTGCGTGGTCTTGGGCCGTTCCTTGTCCGACATCCGTCCCTCGCCGTCTCGGACCGAAAATTTGACTCAAAGCATCCTTACACCCGATTCCTGTGCCACAAGCTATGCGAGAGCTTGGAGCGGCGATCAGCTCCCCAGGAATCTGTCGACGCCCTCCAGCTCATTTATCGGAATTTGCTCGATGTGCCACCAAGAGACTTGGATACCCATCTTTTGGTCCTCCGCACTCTGCGGACTCGAGCAGCCGACATCCGCACGCACCGTTTGTCTGCCATTGTCCAGTGCGTCGTGCTCAAAAGTTGCACGTATGATTCGTTGGAATGGGAGCGATTGCCGAGTATGTTCGATGACGAGGCCTGGTTCCGCTCCGTGCCTGGCCTTGACAACGCCAAACGAACGAAGCAGGTATCGGCACAGGAAATTCACCACTGTGCATGTGTGGGTGTTTTTACCACTTTCTTTGAGCAGTGTGCCGCCCGCAGTCCGGATCAAACAGAACGGGACGTGGACTTTGCAACGCTCGAATTGGTGGTACGACACACAGTCACTCGCATTGTTTCGGTGATCCCGACTGGACTGCAACGCCGATTCGCCGACGCCGCCGCTGCATTCATCCGCAAATATCCAGAGAACTGTCTTGCGGATGATCATGGACTCTACTCGGTGCTTGGCTGGGCCGTCCATGAGTACGACGGGTATATGACCAATGTGGATGCATTGCGCGTCCTGGACGTGGCTGTGTCGCAGGTGCAGACGGAAGATCAGCAGCAAAAACACCGGGTCAATGCTCAATGGATCCGGGAATGGATGCAGGACCGGCTCCATCCCGAGGACATTTTTGCCGCCTTTGTCTCACTGGTAAGTGACGGCGAGTGAAGGGACGATCGCAGAGGCTGTCATTTTCCATTGATTTAGCCTACAGTCCATGTATTCGCTATGTTCAACGAGATCCTCTTCACTGCGCCAGAGACCCTCCGTCGATCTAGTCTTCCCCGCGTCCATGCACATTTGTCACAGTCACGCAGATCGGATCGTCCGGACTCCGCATGTCACGGGACTCTCTTTAGGGCAAATCCAAAAGTGAGCACCAGGCAGGCGGTGTTCTGGTCGGCTTGACTTTCGTCGTCAGCACATGCATCTTCGCGCTGATCATCGACAGCTCGTCGCTTTCGGCCAGCGACAGCTCAAAGGTGCCGTTTGGGATCATTGCTGCAGCGCCGCTCGATGATCAGCACAAACTCGCCTGCTCTGGATCCGAGGCAGTTTTGGCACCGGTCTCGAACAGCTTGCCCGCTCGCATGCAATCTGCAGCTCCTCTGGATTGCGTCGCACGAGTAACAACGGGAGATGGTATGACCCGTGGGCGGCTGAGCTTGAGACGTGGACGGCTGAGCTTGAGAGACGGACAAACAGACACGGAGATAACCGACAGACACACTGAAAGCAGGCGTCCATTACACCTAGAACCGAGTAATCTCAGACCGAAACACTTAAAACCGCTTCCTCGGGGCAGATAGCAGCCCACACGCACTCTGGTAGCCAGCCAGGAACAAAGGCGCAGAAGGGCTCTTGAAAGGATCATTCGAGTGGTTGGAGATGGCATGTGCGAAGACGCATCAGTGAACGTGGAGAAGCGCTGGGAGTGTTTATTAGCTAGACACGCGCGTTACCTCAGCGCACGCACCGAAATGGCGATACATTGTCGACGTCCAGGGACTCGTGAATGCTGAAAGCGGAATCCTACCCGGCATGGCGCGCAGGAAGATTGGGGGGTGCCGTCCCCAGCCACAGACGGCTCGACGTCCAGTGGTAGCTTGTAGTCCGTGAAAGCAGGAAGAACGTCGACGGCTGACCCATCGCCCGGGTCTGAGCACCGCACTGAGCGTACCGAAACACTGCCAGCAGAAGTAAGCCTGTCCACCCGGCAGCCATCAGCAATCGGTGAAGAAGAACTCACGGGAGAGAGCGCGCCGTTTCTGGATCTGGGGTGCTCTCCAACCCGATTCAGCACAGTCACGGTCTGGTAAGAGGGAATCAGATTAAGCGAGGGCCTGTACAGATGCAATCCACTGACACAGACCGATGTAATGCTGCAGAATTAGACAATGGAACCGAAGTGCAAGGAATCGACTTGCGCCTTGCGTCAGTTTCATACAGAGCCCCAAGATAGGCCATCTATTCTCGACACCATATCCTCTCCAGCACATTCGCCATCGAATCGTGGGCTGCAGGGAATGGCGGTCGCACGTCAGCCAATGCACGAAAGCACAGGATAACGTCAAGTGACGCGAGGTCGTGGACAGTGCCAATGGGCGGTAGAATCCCCTGCGTGTTGATTGCTTTGGTGCACCACGTCGTCCAGTCGAATTGACGTGGCCGTGCTGAAGCTCCCCAGGGCTTGCCTCGAGTATAGCTCAGGCTGACATCCCGCGTTTCTTCAAGCCATCGGAACGAAAAGCGTTTGTGAACAACCGGTCGCTGGGAACCACATTTCTCTGAGTGGCACACCCTACATCGAAAGTGAAGGTCCGTCTATTGGATGTCGCTGCGACCCGACCTTCGATGTGTAACATCAATGCTCTCGCAGCCTCGGATCCTCCGCCGCCTGCCTGCGCATCATGACATCCGGGGCGTCATGCGAGTCGAAATGTCCCGCCGCCAACCGCCAGCGGTAGCGGTAGCAGTTCCACTGATATCGTTCCTGCGACTGCGGGGGCTGCTGCTGATAGTCCGTTGCCGAGGATGACACACCCACGGACAACGTCTGAGCGAGGATAGAGGAAAGTGCGAACGCCCATGATTGGTGTCAGGCCACTATGTGGTACGATCGCACAAGAATGACAAGGAGAATTTGACCGGCCGCTGCAGCCGCATAGAAAGCTCTTTCTGACGCATCTCCTCGACATCTGGCAAGTCAACCTATTCCTCGCGCCGCCGCCGCTGCCGCCGATGCTCCTCCTTCTGTTGCTCCTCCCGCTGGTCCTGATACTGCCCAACTCAAGTAAACGGCCAATCGACGCGACCACCCCAACTGGAGTTTCACTGGACGCTGATGTCGTTGCTGCCGAGGCCGCCTATCCGGCTGGTAACATTCTGGGATCTCGGGCGGCCAGCTGGACCAGCCCTCATCTTATCGGTGAAATGCCGCGCAAGACACTCTTCGAGCTCTTGCCGCCGGTTCCGCTACCACGCACCCGGTTCCACCGATGCATACCTGGATTGTCGCACCTGATCTTGCCCCGGCTGAGCGTCAACTGGCGCCAGAAATGCAGGTCGGCCGTGTGGCAGTGAGAATGCCATGGGCAAAGACACCGTCGGTGAAGATACGGCGTCTCCTTCGTCCGAGTGCCGCAACAGGAGCGGATGGCCTGTGCAGGGCGCGATACACATGGCGAGTGAGCTTCTGAGAAACCGGCAAGAGACGTGTCGAGCAGACATCTGGAGCAGACAAGTCAGCGAGCAAGTCGCTGAGCTAAATAGCATGTTGTATACCCTCACCGAGGACCCAGAAGTACCGTGGACATATGAGTAGATGCACAAAAACATTCTAGGCAGTGGCGGGGCCCGTGCGCAGACACAGCGAGAGCACCAGATTGGCCCGCAGTTTAAGACCACCGTCCAGGGTGGCTGAGCTCAGAGAGAGACATGCACTCGAATCCATCATAATGGGGCGTTTTCGCAGCAGGAAAGTGACATTCGCAGATGTCGGAGGCAGGACAGGACCCTAAAGTCGATGGCTAGCTGTACAAGCAATCGGGAAGTAGGAAGCGCGGAAATGCGGCGAGGCGACTGTTGATCCACACGCAACAGCGAGGATGCCGTCCGCAATTCAATAAAGCATAAACTGGAGCGCAGAGTTAAACAGCCCGCCGAATTGGGCGACCAGGACAAGTCCCCAGAGCTGATCCGTGGCAGTCACACAACATCCCCGAGACACGTGGGAGATCCCAAGGCGACAAGGGTCACGGTATGAGTTTCATTGCAGTAGAATTTTAGGTCTGCTTGTGACGTGTCGATCGAGTATAGAGCGCTCAAAAATGAGAATGGTGCACGGACAGTGGAGCGGGCGTAGCTCTTCGTAGAATGCTGTGACTAAGTCTGTCTCCCCCCATGTACTCTTGTGTGTCTACGCCGGGAGCACGTGACCCCTACTCCATGTGCCCCCATTTATTTATTTTTTTGGTGGGACGTTCAAAGGTTCGAGTTCCGGACATAGTCTTTTACTCTTACCCGTCGTTTGCGGCCAAGGCATTGGGACCTAGCCAAGTAGAGGAGTTTACCACACGGGGAAATGCGCTTAGTAACCGGAGTTACCCGCACGATACACCCGAATTCTCGCGGTGCCGTGTGTGGGGCTTCGGCTTCGGTTCGGGAGTCGCCTGGCGACTCCTTCCTTACCGTTAGCCGACACCCACTAAAACCCCGCCTCCCTTGGTCCAATCGTCTGGGAGATGCTCCTCGTTTTGTATCGTCTTTGTCCACGTCTTCCTGACCAGGGAAGGTTTGATTGCTTTTGGCCCGTATCTGGCAGTGTTCGTCATCACGCAATCGATGAGCAGTCGTGTGTTTATGGCGCGTAGCCACCTGTTTTGGATTTCGCGTCTGGAGGCCTCATCCTTCTCCTGGATTACTCGTTCGCACCTTAATCTCCATATCATGTGCGCCGACTCTGATACCACTATTCTGAAGAGCCGCGACAGGCTGGCGTTGCCTAGGGTAACTGCTCCACACGCCATTATCTTTCCGATGTTCAGCTCGAGATGCAGCCCCGTTTTCTTCTTCCATATCACGTTCGCAAGATCCCATATCTGGCTCTGGCCGGCGGCCTCGCATCTGAGCAGGATGTGTTCCATGTTCTCGATCACCTCTCCGCAGTGCTTGCAGTACGCCTTCTCTTCGTGGCCTGGTATCTTACGCCAGTGGTCTCCAACTTTATAGCCGTCATGTATTAGCATCCACAGGAAATATCTGACGCTTCGGGAGAAGTCTTGGTGTCTCGTTGATAACCATATTTGTGCAGTGGTTGCTGCGCCTCTTGGCTCTGGTTCCAGGAGTACTGTTGCTTCTTTTGCCAGTTCAATATTACGGGTGGTTGCTTTCTGGTCTAGAGCATCCTGGTATCGGTCCTCTCTCATTTTGGATATCCTGATGATCTTATATGCCAGCGATTGCGTCATTGCCTTCAGCTTTGCTCCTGGAAGGACAAGGGACTCATTGATTCGTGTATCGATGATATCCGGAGCATTCTTCCGGCGGCCTTCGTCTGCTAGACGGTCTGCTTGCTCATTACCATGCGTCCCAGCATGTCCTTTAACCCAGGTGAGTCTTGTTCGTGCACATCTTCCTCTTATCTTAGTGATTGTCAGTTTTGCTAGGTCTCCGTTTGCGGTGAGGAAGAATCCTTGGTCTTCCCATTTCCGAATGCTTTGGGTGAGTCCTTTTATCGTGTACATCGAGTCTGTTTTGATGTGTAGCAGGAGCCCGGGCGGGCACAGGTCAATTGTTTCCTTCACTGCGAGCATCTCTGCTACCTGGTTGGATGGGCCGAACTCGTTGGGGATCTTAATTGCCCTATTCATGTTATCGTTATCATTGAAGTATATTCCCGCACCGGCTTCAGCTCCTTCGCGGCCATTGTTTGTTGCAGAGCCGTCTGTGTAGGTCATCAGTTCGGTAGTTTCTTCCTCAATTGATGTAGCTGGTTCTAGATTTGGCGCTGCGGCATCCATGTTCCTCTCGTTGTCCGTAAAGACTCTGAAGATATCGCCCACCAAGCCTGTCGTTGTTATGCGTTGGTCTATATCTCGCGTCTCGACGCCATTTACGTTGATCACTTCGGGTGTCATTCTGTGTTCATAGTCTTCGGGTTGGGTTTTTCTAGGGTCCCATTTGGGGTCTAGGGTGTCCAGCATCTCACCGGCCTTCCTGTAGCATACATGTGGGCTGGTACATCCGGTGGATTCTCTGACTTCGGTACACGCATTGCACCTGCATCGCTTTGAGGCGACATGACGGTTAGTCCGCATCTTCCGTTCGAGCTGGACTGCATCTTTGACAGTCTTCATTTTATGTTTCTCCTTGAGGCACTTGATAGTATCTTTCTTGTATTTCCACATTCCATGTTCTGCGTTCGATTTTGTGTGGTGCCAGATTATCATCTGGCCCTGTATCTCTCGCGACACGGCTATTGCGTCTGCTGCTACACCGTGCTTTTTCCCGACGCTAGTCATCTTGGCAAGATCCTTTCCAATCTCTTTGGCTGACACTTTATGCTTCCAGTCTTGAAGATATGAGTTCAGTCTCACTGAGAGTTCAACATTGCTTCCGTCGGATGCCATCTTGTTTGCAAGGATCTCATCTGCAACAAAGCACCAGAGTGGTCTCTCGTCGCCAATGCTCAGGTACGTCTTCAGCCACATAATGGCAATAGCTTCGTTCCTGGCTACAATGTCTAGCAGGTCTCTCCCGCCCATCTCGGCTGGAGCGTATACTGTCTCTCGGTTAATTGTGACCTTGTCTTTCTCGGCCCAGATGAATTTTCGGACTCGTTTTTCGAGTCTCTCTTCAATTACTTTTGGCATGCCTTGCACCGTGGCGAGGTATTGGGTCATCCTGCCTACTACCATCAGCACAATTAGTCTCCTGCCTGCCATTGACGGGTTGCCCTGCTCCCATCTGTCTAACGTTTCGTCAATCTTCTCTAATGTGCGTGCCCATACTGCAACTTCATCCACTTTATTACCTATCCATGCGCCAAGGCATCGAACCGGCTCTCCTTCCTTTGCAATTTTAACGTGGTCTGGGATCATTGTCCCATCTATCCCATTTACAAAGTGGCTGGCACGCACACGGTCTCAGTGCTCCAGCGTGCCAATGGGGATCATCTCTGTTTTATTTATATTGAAGCGTGCACCAGAGGCAATGCACCATTCGTCTATGACATCCAGGAGGGCGCCAAAATTGTCTTGCTCATCCAGGTATACAACTGTATCGTCAGCAAACAGTGTTGCAATCAGTCTTTCAGTTTTCCCTCGAATCTTGATACCTTTCAGATTTGATTGGCGTAGCGACTCCGCCAGTGGTTCTATTGCCAGGTTGAAGAGGAGGCAGGACAGTGGGTCCCCTTGCCATACGCCTCTTGTCACTTTGAAGGGCTGACTGCTCTTCTCTCCATTCAGGATCACAAAGGTGTGTGCATCGTTGTATAATGCTCTGACAGTGTTCACAAATTCATCGGGGATTCCATAGCTTTTGAGGGCCTTCCAAAGGTAGCCATGTTCGATCTTATCATACGCTTTCTCTTGGTCAAGAGCTACAATGACGCCATTCCTCTCGGTGGCCTCTGCCATTTCTATAACTCGTTTTGTGAGCCAGATTTGGTCTTTAATTTGTCGACCCTTGACAAATCCAGCTTGGCTGGGATGTATAAGATGTGGTGCAACCTCTGCAAGCTTTATCGATAGTGCTTTTGTGAAGATTTTGTAGTCTGAATTAAGCAGCGAGATTGGCCTGTAGTTTGCGATGTCTGATTTATTGTTTTTCTTATACAATGGACACATCCAGCTTTCAGCAAACCGGGTACCTATGACAATTCCGTGGTCCTCTATATCATTGTATACTGCCAGGAGCGCACTTAATACATTGAATGCTGGCTTGTCAGTTTCGACAGCTGTCACGTGTCTGTCACTGAGCACTTTCTATAGCTCGTACGGAATGCCATCCAGCCCGGGCGCTTTGAAGTTAGCGGAGGACTTTAGCGCCTGGGAGACGTCTTCCAGCATCATCTTTGCTTTAAGCTTCTCATTCTGTTCATCTGTTATATGTATCTGTGTCCTGGCTAGGACTCTCTCAATCTTGGCCTCGCGTTCTTGCTCACTGGTATCTTGGCGGTCTCCTTGAAGGTGGTCATGATACTCCTGTGTCATGTTTGCCATTCTCTTTGAGTTTGTTTCATACTCTACCGGAGCGTCTGTGACTCCTGGGGGGGCTGGTTTTTTGAGCCTATGGATCGTGTCCCTTGGCTTACTTGGCTTGTTGATCTTGGTCCAGTATCTGCCAATTATCTCGCCGTGTAGCCTATTTTGGATCTGTGCTGTAAGCCTGTTCGACTTGTAGCGCTGTTTCTGGAGTTTGGCAATTTGATCAATGATCATTGCTGTATTGAGGTGTCTCTCTTCTTCTGACATTACTTTATCTCTAGAGACGTTTGCCAGCTTGAGCTCCAGTTCAGCTATTTCCTTGATGATTTTGGGGGCTGTCTCTTTAGTACGTTCACGTGCTCGGACACCAATTTTTGTCTTGAAGTTTGTCCACAGGGTTTGGGCGTTGTTTTCCACAGTCCGGTTGTTGTTATTCTTCAACTCTTCCAGTGCTGCACTGAGCTCAAGGCCAGATTGAAGTATGAACTCTGCAAGGTTTCTGTCTTTCATTATGTGTGCTGGCCAGACCCATCGTCCTTTGCCAACTGTTGGGGCGTCCGCCGTTGTGATTTTGGCCCAGACAAGGTCATGATCTGTCTCGATGCCTATACGTTGTATTCCCCAGTCGAAGGTGTTCTCAAAGCTAGCAGTCTTTACGTATATCCTGTCTATACGTGACAGGGCTCCGCCAAGCGCATGTGGTTGCCTGAAGGTATAGTTCCTTGTATCGGGGTACGTTGCGCGCCATCCATCAACAAGTGTAAATTTTGACTTGAGCTCATCTAGAGCATCTACCGCGTTCTTATCGTCCTCGTGAGCTGGAAGTCTATCAATCGCCGCCTCGACTACATTGGTATCGCCCACCATGAGGTCTGGTCTTCCAGTCCTTGGGTTGTCTTTGAAGAATTTGTCGATATCTTCCCAGAATTGCCTGTTTTTGGCGGGGTTATTGGGTGCATATACTCCAAGGATAGATAGCGGGCTTCCATCTGCCTGCTGTATCTTCAGTATCATAGCCCGTCCTGGCACTACAGTGAGTGATTCTATTGTGTCCACTCTTGCAAGGTTCTTGTTGATGACGAACGCCAGCCCAGCCGCGTTGGGTGACCGCGGGTTCTCTGTGAACTCAATTCGCAACTTACGGCCAAATATCTTGCTTACATTATCTTTGCGCTCTTGGTTCATGTGCGCCTCACCCACAACTAGTACTGCGATTTTCTGCTCCCTGAGGATCTGCCATATCCCAAGCCATTTGTTGTCGGGATGGTGCACATTCAGGTTCCCGTGGCCTCGTATGTTGAGACCAGCAACTTTCAGCACTGTCTTCATCTTCTTTCTCACAGCACTCTGTCCGTTTCGCGGTCGCTCTGCGCTTGGGTGTGATGTGCCCCCATTTAAAATGGCGACGTCCTCGCCGCCTCCGACGTCGCCGAGCTCCCTCTCCGCTTGTTGCAATCGCCACCGCTCAACCTCATCGAGTTCGGCTTCTCTCAGCCTGTCCACTTCCCGCACCTCGTCCTCCTCGCGTGCTGTCCTTGATTTATCTGCTGCACTCTTGAGTGCTGCCTGCGCCCTAGCGAGAGGTGTCCCAGCTCTGGGAACGTATTGTCGGAGTCGTTGTGCGTTGAATACGCCGTCGATGGGGACCCCCTCGACGGATTCCAGCTTGAACGAGTGTCGCAGCCTGTCCTGCACTCTATGCGGCTCCGACCAACGACATGTCAGTTTGCGCTCGTTACTAATCATGTTGGCCAAGTCGCTGCGGAACACCTGGACCAGGTCGCCGACCTCGAAGGACACGACTCCCGCCTTCGACTTCAGCACTTTCCTGTCGAACGCCGCCTTGCGTCCAATCGCGTACTTGATGCGTTCCGCGTATCCGTCCAGTCGAAGCTGTTCCGCATACGCCATGTGCAGCACCATCTCGTGTGATGGCGGCGCTGTATCCAGGTTCAAGGGTTGTCTCGCGTCCGGCGCCGCAGCCATTAGTCCAAACAGAAGTTCCCTGGGCGAGAATTTCACCGCCGGTAATAGTCGGTCGTTCATTGTTTCGATAGCCGTGTCGAAGTGGTCCGTCCAGAGCCGTGGTAAGTCATCTTTCTTTGTTGATTTCCATGCGTCCTCACCAACGTCAGGTGCACACAGTCTTGCAAGTATGTACAGCAAGATCTTGTTTGCTCCCTTGACCAGTCTGTTGATCCAGGGTGCGTACGCTGCGCCCTTGTGAAACCGGACCCGTCGTCGTTTGCACAGCGCATCAACGTCCTTGTTAGCAAAGTGTGAACTGTTGTCGGACATGAAGACCTCGGCGACGTGGAATTTGCCAAAGATGTGTTCAAGTGCCGCTGTGGTAGATTTAGCAGAACCCGAATCTTTCAGTTTAAAACCCCAAACGAATTGGGAGGATACGTCGAGGAACAGCCCGACGGTCTTGAAGCCTCCCTCGCCATCCGGCATTGAAAGGTAGTCGCCCACAATGAGTTCGAAGGGTTGTTGGCGCATTATCGGGTTCATGAGTGTGTGTAGATTTGCTGGGCCAAATCCTTTGCATTTGGCACAGTCCGCGATTGCCCTCATAATGGAGTCGTCCAGTCCCGGGCTGTGGTATTTGTCCTTCAGTGCTAATTTGTTGGCGTCTCGATGAAAGTGTCCCCCTTTGCTGTGCACCTCCGCTGCCTTTTCCCTTGCTTCCGTGCGTGTTAGACACTCGTGTCTCGACCGCCCTCACATTGCTACGCCGCCCCCCACTCTCCATAATCGGCCGTCGTCAATGAAGTACTGCGATGCCCGATGTCTTGCTCATTTTCGATCTGCTAGGCTGGTCCCCAAATCCAGCTCCGTAAGCGCTTCCACAATCTCCAAGTACATTGGTTCGTCCTTGAAGCGCTTCCGAAGTTCCATGGTGCCCTGCGGCAGTGGTACCACAGTACAGGTTAGCTCTTCCGTTGTTGAGGCGTCAACCACAAACAGATCGTTGGTGAGTCCAGTGCGAGCTTCCCAATCGGGCAAGACGGTGGATTCACTGCCATCACCTGGGGTCTTTGGTGTGCCCTCTGCCGCCTGACTTAGCGTGTCTGCCACCGCGTTCGTCGATCCTTTGATGTGCTCCGCGCCGATGATGTTGTAGCCAAGGAGTCCGTTTAGCCATCGGGTGTGTGTTGCATTGAGTTTTTCGTTATTGAAAATATTGCATAGCGCCTGGCAGTCGGTCTCCAGTCAGACTGGTTGGCCCCAGACGATGTTCGAGAACTTGTCCAGGGCGAAGTTTAGTGCGGCGAATTCCAATAAATGGGGTTGGTACCGCTCTTCTGCTGCTGATGTCCGTTTGGATGCAAAGGCGATGGGGTGTCGCCGGATGACCACCCGGCCATCTGTCGTTGTCGACTCCATCTTCTGTGAGAGGACGCCAGCAAACGCGTCCTTGCTACCGTCTGTCGTGATGATGAACGGGTGTTTGTGGACAATATCGTATAGTGGTGCTCGTAGCACTGGTGCAGACAAGAGTAGCTGTTTGAGTCGGAGAAAGCACCTTGTGTGCTCTTGAGTCCAAAGTGGTCGCAAGTCGAAGTTCTTCATGACCGTTCGGTAGACTTGTCGGCTCGGCTTCGGTGGCATTGGTACTGTCTTGAGGAGGTTCCGCAGTGGCGCCTCTTCTTGGGTGTAGTTCTGGATGATGTCACGGAAGTAGCCAGTGAGTCCCAAGAATGCTGCCAGGTTAGTCGCGTTCTCAGGTGTCTTCCACCCTACCACTGCTGTGAGTTTTGTGGGGTCCGGCGTCACTCCTTGGGGCCCAACCATTGCCCCCGCAAACACTGCTTCTGTCATGAACAGTCGGGTCTTTGCCGCCGAGAGCGACAGACCCTCTGCTCGCACCCGGTCGAAGACCAGCTGTAGCTTGTGCATCATCCCCTCAAATGTGTCTGACGCAGCGCCCCCATCATCCACAAACAACTCCATAACCTGAACCAACAAGTCACTGAGTTTGTTGGTGCACATGGCGCCAAATTCCGTTGGTGCATCCGTTAGACCAAACGGCATCCGCATATATGTGACAATCAACCCAAAAACAAAGTCGAAAAGAGAAGTGAATTCGAAGACTGGAGAATACAACCAGGTAGCTACAGTATTTATACCCAAATCCAGTCTGAGTCATATCTACAACTAATGAGTCATAAGACTATGTACCGCATGGAACGCTGGTCATGGGTTGTAGTAGAACCTTCCGGAGCATATGTCGCGCAGCCTCGAATCGATAGAGATAACCCCTGGAACCCCTAGCCCGGACCGTCTGATGCCGTGATCCGTGATAAGATGAGATGTCGATGATAAGATGAAAAAGTGGTCGAACTATGACATTACCCCCTCTCTAGGGTCGATGTCCTCATCGACTAGGCCAATGGGCGTGAAGACGTTCTCGTAGGGGTCGAAGAGTTGTCGTTCGGGATATGGAAGGCGCTCGTCCCTGGGCTTGTAACGATGAATGAGATAGTCCCAGTGTCCAGCTTTGAGCGTTGGCAGGAGGCGAATGCGTGTGTCTGGATTTGATTGTTTCCTCTGCCAATCTCTCAGGACCTTCTTCGCATGGGTGAGGTGACGTGATGGTTCCCAGGTGTTCTCGCTATGCGGCCATCCCTTCTATTTGACCAAGTACTGTTTTCCTCGGCCGACTTTTCGTTCTTTCACGATTTCTTCGACTTCCCACTCCTCTGCTCCTCCGATCATCTTGGCTACGGGTCTCTTCTCTCGGCGATGGGGGGGTGGTTCATGATAAGGTGTCAGTAGTGACTCGTTGAACACCGGGTGTCTTCGGTCCGTGTCCGGCAAATCCAGTTTCCAAGCGGCCGCTCCAACCTTCTCCAGTATCTCGTATGGTCCCAATCTCTTGTCGCTCATCTTCTTTGATGGTCTATCCGTCTCGATATTTTCCCCTTCTATGTACACCTTCATCCCAACCTTCAACTCTGGAACTTCTTTTCTTTGTTTATCGTAGTATTTTTTCATTTTTTCTTTTGCTTTTTCCAATGCTGCTTTTGCTTCGTCTTGTATTTCTTTGATTCTTTTAACAAATTCCTCCGCCGACTCGTTTCTTGATTCCATCCTTTGCTCCACTCCCTTCCATGGGTGATATCCGTGATTTGCATAGAACGGCGACATCTTGGTAGACGTGTTCATTTTGTCATTGTATGCAAACTCCGCCATTCCCAGCCACTCCGACCAATCCGTCTGATGGTAGTTGACGTAAATGCGGAGGTAGTGTTCGATCTCCTGATTCATGCGTTCGGTTTGTCCATCCGTGATCGGGTGATATGCGGTCCCCGGGTTCATTTCCACGCCCAACATCCGATTCGTCTCCTTCATGAAGCCCTTGATGTAACGCGAGTCCCTGTCGGTGATGATCTTGCGAGGGATCCCATGATAGCGGAAGACTCGGTCCCTGGTTAACCGTGCGACTCCTTCACTGCTGATGTCAGTACTAATTGGTTCGACATGGATCATTTTGGTGAAGGTGTCACACCACACATGGATTGCATCATACCCATTACTAACCGGCAGGGGCCCGATTTGATCCATCAAGATGATTTCCCACGGCGCATTTGGAACTGCATGCGGGTGTAGAGTCCCTGTCCTCGCTCTCCTGGTCTTGGTCCGTTGGCACGCCTCGCACGTCTGGATGTATTTCCGAATTTGGTTTCCCATCCTGGGCCACCAGTAGTTTCTTTCCACCATCTCCTGCGTTTGGTTGATCCCAGCGTGTCCGACCAACGGGGTGTCGTGGTGTAATCCGATGATCTTGTCCCGTAACTCCTCGTCTCTTGGTACATAGAGCTTCCCATGATACGTGATAAGCCCCTCTTCCTTCTTCCATCCAACGAGTGACTTCTCCAAGGCCGCCTTGACGCTTCCATCAATTGATCGAATGGCCTTGATTTCATTGATTAGCTGCTGATCCTGTCCCTCGAATGTGACTTCTTGTGATCGGAAGAACTCGGGCTTCAGTAGCGTGACGTCCTTGTTGTTGTTCTTGCCCTGATCGTGATCTGCTCGTCGAGACAGGAGATCCGCCTTGCGGTTGAGTGCGCCGGGTTGGTGTCGTAAGGTGAAATCAAACTCCGCCAGCTCCGTGATCCATCGTGCTTGTCGTCGATTGAGCTTCTGCGGCTTTCGGAAGTACTCGAGATTCTGATGATCAGTGAAGATCTCGAATGTTTCCGTGGCTCCCAGGAGCAGCTGCCTCCATTCATCGAGTGATAACATGATCGCGAGCATTTCCTTGTCGTAGATCTCGTAATTTCGCTCGGTTTCGGTCAATGCGTGTGAAATAAATGCGATTGGGCGCCAAATGCTGTCTTGGTTTTGGCTCAAAACTGCTCCTGTTGCCCCTTCCGAAGCATCGGCTTCCAGACAATATTGGCCAGTGTCATTTGGCAGTGCTAGGACCGCATCCTCTGCGATTCTCTTCTTCAACCCATCAAATGCTGCACGCTCATCTGCACCCCATGCCCATCCTGCCTTCCCTGTCAGCCGTGTCAATGGTTTGGCAACCTCCGCGTATCCCCGGACAAAGCGCCGATAGAAGTTCGTGAATCCGAGGAAAGCTTGGACTTGTTTGACGCTCTTTGGTTCTGGCCATTCCATCACGCCCTTGATCTTGACTGGGTCCATCCGCATCGAATTGTGTCCAATAATCACACCCAAATATTCGATTTCCGTGCGTTCGAACTCGCACTTTTCGGGTTTCAGGTACAGCTTGTGTTTTTGGAGCAGTTCGAGTACTCGTTTCGTGATCCGCCGATGTTTGTCCAAGTTCTCTGTGAAGATCAGTATATCATCAAGATAGACTACCACGTGGCCCTCGTTGATCAGTTCTCGGAGTATGTCATTCATCATGTTTTGGAAGGTTGCCGGGGAGTTTGTGAGACCGAAGAACATGACCAAGGGCTCGTACAGTCCGCGGTTCGTGCGGAACGCAGCCTTCCACTCGTCGCCCTCTTTGATCCGTACGTTATTGTATCCCCACCGGATGTCGAGCTTGGTGAAGAACTTTGCACCACATAGATTATGGACCAGTTCAGAGATCAGCGGCAGCGGGTACCGATTTTGGATTGTCATTTCGTTCAGCTTCCGATAATCTTGGACGGGGCGTAGCGAGCCATCCTTCTTTTTGACAAAGAAGAACGCTGATGCCATGGGTGATTTGGAAGGCCTGATCCGTCCGCTGGCCAGGTTCTCTTGTAAGAACTCGTCGAGTTTGACCCGTTCGTTTCGTGATAACGGGTACACCTTGCAGTCCACTGCTTTGGAACCAGGTTTGAGCTCGATTGCATGGTCCCATGCCCGTCGGTCTGGCAGCGAGTCGAACGATTCCTTGGCGAATACCTTGACAAATTCCCGATATTGATCCGGAATCTTCCCCTCGGTCATTCTCTCCTTCTCTTTTTCCGCTTCTTCTGCGAATTTCTGCGCCGGCGTTTCCTTCAACCGTAGATCCACCTCCTTCCCAAAGTCGATCAACAGGATTGACTCTCCCTCTTCCAGATCCGGTGCACCTGCGTCCAGGTCAATTGCATCCATGTCGATCATCGCTTGATGCTCCTCGTGACCCCTCATGTGACACCGCTCTGGACATCGACTGAACCTCATCGTCTGCTCCTGCCAATCCACCTCGGGGTTGTGTTCCGTCAGCCAATCAAGACCGATGAAGATCCGAGCTTTCCCTAAACACGTCAGGAGGAACGTGCGTGTCTCCACGTGAGGACCGATTCTCATCCTTAGGTCGACGTAATGCGTGATCCGACCACTGATGTTCTCGGTGTTGTCGGCGTTACGAGCCACAATGGGTTGGGGAAGTTCTTTGATATCCAGCTTTTCTGCCCGCGCGTAGTCGGTATCGATGCAGCAGGTGCTACAGCCACTATCGAGTAGCGCCTTGACTCCGCGCGTCTTTCCTGAGTCCAGGCCCGTGATCTGGACATACACATCCATCGAATGTCTCTTCCTCTCGGCCTGGTAGTTGCGCAGTTCCTGCGCCAGTCTGCTGGATTGCGGGCCCTTCTGTCTCTCGGCTGCCCATTTCCTTTGAACGGCATATGGCACCCTCGTGCGTTTGGGTGCTTCTGGAACCCTGATTTCGGCAGATTCCTTGGGCGCTTCCTCCTTTTTCAAGGATTGAGCCTCCGGAGCGATGCTCCCCTTTTCGGTCTTTGTTGACGTGGTTCCTTCTCCACGAGCCATAAATACGTAGGAGTCCAAAATTAATTTATCCGCAGCTTTCTGATCCTTTTTACTCTGTAAATACTCTCTATTTAAAGCTATTTTCTTTTGACGTTCCTTTTCCATATCAGCAACAAGAAAATCATGAATATTAGTACGTAGGGAGTCTGGGATCGTGTATGCATGAGGAGAATTGTTCATATCTCTAATCGAAACAAGTATAGAAAAACGTCCATAGTCCGGACGCTCCACCTCCTTGGCTAGAGGAGTGGAGCGCTTCAAAAACCCTTCTCACGCAGCTTCTCAGCGATCTCCTTGAGGAACTCGTTGTCCTTGTCCCCGTTCTCGATCTCTTCCAGCATCGTGGCCCGATTGAAGAATGTGCGCTTCCTCTTGGGCTCAGGGCAGTTCCGCGCAATGTGCCCAGGCTGCTGACAGTTGTAGCAGATGATATTGCGGCCGCGGGCGTGGGTGCGATCGATTTCCATCGGAACTGGCTCGTTGGCAGCGGGTCGGGCCGGAGCGGGTGCAGGTGCTGATGGTGCAGCCTGAGGGCGGAATTGGGGTGGGGGCCGCAGAGTCGAGTGCGCATAGGATGCCTTACGCAGCTGATCGCGCAAGGCATTGGCCTCGATGTTGACACACCAGTTCTTGAAGGCACCATATGCCTTGGGCAGGGGGACACCAGTGTTGTAGAGGCGGCTTGCAATTTCGCTGCTGAGTCCGCGCTCCAGGAACTCGATGAGGATGTTGTCCTGATCCCCCTTCTTGTACTCGCCCTTGTCATCGGTCAAGGCGACCACGTTGTACCCCGCGTCTGCAGCCAGCATTTCGAAGTCGGAGATGTAGTCCGCAAAGGACCGTCTGCCCTGGCGAAGGGCCATGAGTCGAGCAGCGGCGACTTGTTCTGCGTTAGAATCCCCAAAGGCTCTTTGGAGCTCCTCTAAGAAGGTTGTCGCGGTGACTCCCGCCTTCATTCCTTGGAAACCCTCGAAGTTGTGCTGCTTCCAGTTCATCGCCCATCTCGAGGCGGCGCAGCTTGTGCCGGTCTCATTACGGAGGTAGGACAGAACAAAGAGGATTTTTGTTTCATCCAGCGAGAACTCCGATCAATAGGCACCGATGTAGGTGGTGCACGCGTCCACAAAGCCCAGGTATTTGGACTTGTCGCCATCGAAGTAGGGGGGGTTGGCGGCGAGGGTGATGCGGTGATGTCCTGACATGGTAGGAGCAGGTGCGGTAGGTGGGGGCGAGGGTGGTTGTTTGGAGGGTAACTCGCCAAGGTCAGGGATCTCGTCTTCAGGCGGCGGGAGGGTGAGGTAGGGGTTGGAGGGTCCGGGTTTGTTTTGATGCGCCAGATCGGGCGACAATGGTATGATGGGGGGAGGGGATGGACTCCCAGATGACGATGGGAATCGGTACGAAATGGTGGATTCGTGTGCTGTACAAGCACTCGAGGAAAGGTTCTTTTGCTAGCAAAAAGATCCCGGGCCTAGCTCTTCACGTGCCCGATGATCCCGAGGTGCGTTTTCCCGAAGGTCTCCGCAGCACTCCCTGTAGCTACCGTAAGGCTTGGGTCGGGCTCAACGTTACCCATGGCCTGGTGCTGTTTGCTCGATATGAACCTTTCACTGCGATCGCAGCGAGCGACTAGATGATTCGGTAAAAGGGTGAGTGGGGTGATAAGGGTGAAGAGGATATAGCGGGCGTAGCGGTGCACGGAGCAGGGTAGGAGGTAAGAGGTACGAGGGTATGAGGGGAGTCTTCGAATTATGTGACAATCAACCCAAAAACAAAGTCGAAAAGAGAAGTGAATTCCAAGACTGGAGAATACAACCAAATAGCTACAGTATTTATACCCAAATCCAGTCTGAGTCATATCTACAACTAATGAGTCATAGGGCTATGTACCGCATGGAGCACTGGTCATGGGTTGTAGTAGAACCTTCCGGAGCATATGTCGCGCAGCCTCGAATCGATAGAGATAACCCCTGGAACCCCTAGCCCGGGTCGTCTGATGCCGTGATCCGTGATAAGATAAGATCGTCGATGATAAGATGAAAAAGAGTCGAATTATGACAGGGTGCTGAGGATGGCAGATGGATCCCTAGCCTGGCCAACAGTTCAGTGGGACCGCGAAGTCCATGTTGGCAGCGTGACTGTCGCCGTCCAACTGGAGATCCTTGACAGCAAAGGTAGCTGGGACTTCTTGTTCGGGAAGCCATCCCTTGCAGCAGCACATGCGGTGCAGGACTTTGCCGCGGATGTGGTGAGGCTCCCTAGCAAGGACAGCAAGACGGAAATCCGACTACACAACCACAGCAGCAGAAGGAGACCTCCCGAAGCAACGAGATCAAGTGCACCCTTCCAAGGGGTTCTGTCTTCATTTGCAACGACCCCCTTGAGGGGAGAGCAACAGACCAATGGGGAGCTACAGACACCAGACAAACAGGAGTGCCTGTCGTGGCTGGACGAGCTGGTGGAGGGGGAGGTGTCCAGGGTGGTCCAGGGAATGGACACGCGAGCAAACTTGATAGGGGGAAGTAGTGCACCCCCTTCGAGGGAAGTCCTGGATGCCAGATCAGAAACAATCGCATCAATCTCTGATGCAATCCCAGGCACTTTTTTTGACATTGCCAGCCCCGAAGCATTACCAGATGTGGCCGACACATTGACATTCACGCGAACCTCTGAACCATTCAAGCCGGAACGTGTGGCAGCAATTCTCAAGCTTGTGGAAACAGGACCAGACCTTTCAGAAGACCAACGAGAGGAGGTGCAAGACTTCATTGCCCATTACGCTGATGTCTTTGCACTATCCATATCGGAGGTACTGCCGGTGGAGGGCGCGGCATACACGCCAAAGATCCCAGCTGACCACAAGTTCAGTACGAAGATACATCAGAAACCAATGACGCCGCCACAAGAAGCTTATCTACAAGAGCAAACACGCAAACTGGTGAAGGCAGGGGTTGTCCGCCCAATCCATCCCTGGGATGTAAAGTGCGTGTCCCCTATCAAGTTGGCGCAGAAAGAGCATGACAGTGCAGCCCTATTGCATGAGGAGCTGAAACAGGAGCTCAATGATGCTTGTGATTGGGCAGGCCTGCCTTTGCCATATGAGACAGAGCGACGGCCCCAGCAGGTAACCAGTCCGGAGGCAGGACGGCCGCAGGAGCAGAAATGGAGGATCTGCCAGAACTTCCACAAGCTCAAGGCTCTATTGAAGGTTGTCCCAGTGCCACAGGGTGACATCCGAGACAAGCAGCAATGGCTGGCGGGGCACCGATATGTCTCGGTGTTTGATTTCGCGTCGGGCTTCTTTGCCCTTCGGGTTGACGAGAGCGCACAGCTGTACTTAGTAATGTTTGTACCGGGCATGGGCTACTTCACCTATATTGTCATAGTTCGACCACTTTTTCATCTTATCATCGACATCTCATCTTATCACGGATCACGGCATCAGACGGTCTGGGCTAGGGGTTCCAGGGGTTATCTCTATCGATTCGAGGCTGCGCGACATATGCTCCGGAAGGTTCTACTACAACCCATGACCAGTGCTCCATGCGGTACATAGCCCTATGACTCATTAGTTGTAGATATGACTCAGACTGGATTTGGGTATAAATACTGTAGCTACCTGGTTGTATTCTCCAGTCTTCGAATTCACTTCTCTTTTCGGCTTTGTTTTTGGGTTGATTGTCACATAATTCGAAGACTCCCCTCATACCCTCGTACCTCGTACCTTCTACCCTGCTCCCTGCACCGCTACGCCCGCTATATCCTCTTCACCCTTATCACCCCACTCACCCTTTTACCGAATCATCTAGTCGCTCGCTGCGATCGCAGTGAAAGGTTCATATTGAGCAAACAGCACCAGGCCACAGGTAACGTTGAGCCCGACCCAAGCCTTACGGTAGCTACAAGGAGTGCTGCGGAGACCTTCGGGAAAACGCACCTCGGGATCATCGGGCACGTGAAGAGCTAGGCCCGGGATCTTTTTGCTAGCAAAAGAACCTTTCCTCGAGTGCTTGTACAGCACACGAATCCACCATTTCGTACCGATTCCCATCGTCATCTGGGAGTCCATCCCCTCCCCCCATCATACCATTGTCGCCCGATCTGGCGCATCAAAACCAACCCGGATCCTCCAACCCCTACCTCACCCTCCCGCCGCCTGAAGACGAGATCCCTGACCTTGGCGAGTTACCCTCCAAACAACCACCCTCGCCCCCACCTACCGCACCTGCTCCTACCATGTCAGGACATCACCGCATCACCCTCGCCGCCAACCCCCCCTACTTCGATGGCGACAAGTCCAAGTACCTGGGCTTTGTGGATGCGTGCACCACTTACATCGGTGCCTATCGGTCAGAGTTCTCGCTGGACGAGACGAAAATCCTCTTCGTCCTGTCCTATCTCCACAATGAGAGCGGCACAAGCTGCGCCGCCTCGAGATGGGCGATGAACTGGAAGCAGCACAATTTCGAGGGCTTCCAAGGACTAAAGGCGGGAGTCACCGCGACAAGCTTCTTGGAGGAGCTTCAGAGGGCCTTTGGGGATTCTAACGCAGAGCAAGTCGCTGCCGCCCGACTCATGGCCCTTCGCCAGGGCAGACGGTCCTTTGCGGACTACATCTCCGACTTCGAAATGCTGGCTGCAGACGCGGGGTACAACGTGGTCACCTCCACCGACAGCAAGGGCGAGTACAAGAAGGGGGAACAGGACAATATCCTCATCGAGTTCCTGGAGCGCGGACTCAGCAGCGAAATTGCAAGCCGCCTCTACAACACTGGTGTCCCCCTGCCCAAGGCATATGGTGCCTTCAAGAATTGGTGTGTCAACATCGAGGCGAACGCCCTACGCGATCAGCTGCGCAAAGCATCGCATGCGCAATCTGCACCACGACCGCCTCCCCAATTCCGCCCGCAGGCAGCCCCAATGACACCTGCACCCGCCCCGGCCCGACCCGCTGCCAACGAGCCAGTTCCGATGGAAATCGATCGCACCCACGCCCGCGGCCGCAATATCATCTGCTACAACTGTCAGCAGCCTGGGCACATTGCGCGGAACTGCCCTGAGCCCAAGAGGAAGCGCACATTCTTCAATCGGGCCACGATGCTGGAAGAGATCGAGAACGGGGACAAGGACAACGAGTTCCTCAAGGAGATCGCTGAGAAGCTGCGTGAGAAGGGTTTTTGAAGCGCTCCACTCCTCTAGCCAAGGAGGTGGAGCGTCCGGACTATGGACGTTTTTCTATACTTGTTTCGATTAGAGATATGAACAATTCTCCTCATGCATACACGATCCCAGACTCCCTACGTACTAATATTCATGATTTTCTTGTTGCTGATATGGAAAAGGAACGTCAAAAGAAAATAGCTTTAAATAGAGAGTATTTACAGAGTAAAAAGGATCAGAAAGCTGCGGATAAATTAATTTTGGACTCCTACGTATTTATGGCTCGTGGAGAAGGAACCACGTCAACAAAGACCGAAAAGGGGAGCATCGCTCCGGAGGCTCAATCCTTGAAAAAGGAGGAAGCGCCCAAGGAATCTGCCGAAATCAGGGTTCCAGAAGCACCCAAACGCACGAGGGTGCCATATGCCGTTCAAAGGAAATGGGCAGCCGAGAGACAGAAGGGCCCGCAATCCAGCAGACTGGCGCAGGAACTGCGCAACTACCAGGCCGAGAGGAAGAGACATTCGATGGATGTGTATGTCCAGATCACGGGCCTGGACTCAGGAAAGACGCGCGGAGTCAAGGCGCTACTCGATAGTGGCTGTAGCACCTGCTGCATCGATACCGACTACGCGCGGGCAGAAAAGCTGGATATCAAAGAACTTCCCCAACCCATTGTGGCTCGTAACGCCGACAACACCGAGAACATCAGTGGTCGGATCACGCATTACGTCGACCTAAGGATGAGAATCGGTCCTCACGTGGAGACACGCACGTTCCTCCTGACGTGTTTAGGGAAAGCTCGGATCTTCATCGGTCTTGATTGGCTGACGGAACACAACCCCGAGGTGGATTGGCAGGAGCAGACGATGAGGTTCAGTCGATGTCCAGAGCGGTGTCACATGAGGGGTCACGAGGAGCATCAAGCGATGATCGACATGGATGCAATTGACCTGGACGCAGGTGCACCGGATCTGGAAGAGGGAGAGTCAATCCTGTTGATCGACTTTGGGAAGGAGGTGGATCTACGGTTGAAGGAAACGCCGGCGCAGAAATTCGCAGAAGAAGCGGAAAAAGAGAAGGAGAGAATGACCGAGGGGAAGATTCCGGATCAATATCGGGAATTTGTCAAGGTATTCGCCAAGGAATCGTTCGACTCGCTGCCAGACCGACGGGCATGGGACCATGCAATCGAGCTCAAACCTGGTTCCAAAGCAGTGGACTGCAAGGTGTACCCGTTATCACGAAACGAACGGGTCAAACTCGACGAGTTCTTACAAGAGAACCTGGCCAGCGGACGGATCAGGCCTTCCAAATCACCCATGGCATCAGCGTTCTTCTTTGTCAAAAAGAAGGATGGCTCGCTACGCCCCGTCCAAGATTATCGGAAGCTGAACGAAATGACAATCCAAAATCGGTACCCGCTGCCGCTGATCTCTGAACTGGTCCATAATCTATGTGGTGCAAAGTTCTTCACCAAGCTCGACATCCGGTGGGGATACAATAACGTACGGATCAAAGAGGGCGACGAGTGGAAGGCTGCGTTCCGCACGAACCGCGGACTGTACGAGCCCTTGGTCATGTTCTTCGGTCTCACAAACTCCCCGGCAACCTTCCAAAACATGATGAATGACATACTCCGAGAACTGATCAACGAGGGCCACGTGGTAGTCTATCTTGATGATATACTGATCTTCACAGAGAACTTGGACAAACATCGGCGGATCACGAAACGAGTACTCGAACTGCTCCAAAAACACAAGCTGTACCTGAAACCCGAAAAGTGCGAGTTCGAACGCACGGAAATCGAATATTTGGGTGTGATTATTGGACACAATTCGATGCGGATGGACCCAGTCAAGATCAAGGGCGTGATGGAATGGCCAGAACCAAAGAGCGTCAAACAAGTCCAAGCTTTCCTCGGATTCACGAACTTCTATCGGCGCTTTGTCCGGGGATACGCGGAGGTTGCCAAACCATTGACACGGCTGACAGGGAAGGCAGGATGGGCATGGGGTGCAGATGAGCGTGCAGCATTTGATGGGTTGAAGAAGAGAATCGCAGAGGATGCGGTCCTAGCACTGCCAAATGACACTGGCCAATATTGTCTGGAAGCCGATGCTTCGGAAGGGGCAACAGGAGCAGTTTTGAGCCAAAACCAAGACAGCATTTGGCGCCCAATCGCATTTATTTCACACGCATTGACCGAAACCGAGCGAAATTACGAGATCTACGACAAGGAAATGCTCGCGATCATGTTATCACTCGATGAATGGAGGCAGCTGCTCCTGGGAGCCACGGAAACATTCGAGATCTTCACTGATCATCAGAATCTCGAGTACTTCCGAAAGCCGCAGAAGCTCAATCGACGACAAGCACGATGGATCACGGAGCTGGCGGAGTTTGATTTCACCTTACGACACCAACCCGGCGCACTCAACCGCAAGGCGGATCTCCTGTCTCGACGAGCAGATCACGATCAGGGCAAGAACAACAACAAGGACGTCACGCTACTGAAGCCCGAGTTCTTCCGATCACAAGAAGTCACATTCGAGGGACAGGATCAGCAGCTAATCAATGAAATCAAGGCCATTCGATCAATTGATGGAAGCGTCAAGGCGGCCTTGGAGAAGTCACTCGTCGGATGGAAGAAGGAGGAGGGGCTCATCACGTACCATGGGAAGCTCTATGTACCAAGGGACGAGGAGTTGCGGGGCAAGATCATCGGACTACACCACGACACCCCTTTGGTCGGACATGCTGGGATCAACCAAACGCAGGAGATGGTGGAAAGGAACTACTGGTGGCCAAGGATGGGAAACCAAATTCGGAAATACATCCAGACGTGCGAAGCGTGCCAGCGGACCAAGACCAGAAGAGCCAGGACAGGGAGTTTGCACCCGCATGCAGTTCCAAACGCGCCGTGGGAAATCATCTCGATGGATCAGATCGGACCCTTGCCGGTCAGTAACGGGTATGACGCAATTCATGTGTGGTGTGACACCTTCACCAAAATGATCCATGTCGAACCAATTAGTACTGACATCAGCAGCAAAGGAGTGGCACGATTAACCAGGGACCGAGTCTTCCGCTACCACGGGATCCCTCGCAAGATCATCACCTACAGGGATTCGCGTTACATCAAGAGCTTCATGAGGGAGACGAATCGGATGTTGGGCGTGGAAATGAATCCGGGGACCGCATATCACCCAATCACGGATGGGCAGACAGAATGCATGAATCAGGAGATCGAGCATTATCTCCGCATCTACGTCAACTACCATCAGACGGACTGGTCAGAGTGGCTAGGGATGGCAGAATTCGCATATAACAATAAAATGAACACATCTACCAAAATATCGCCATTCTATGCGAATCACGGATATCACCCATGGAAGGGAGTGGAGCAACGGATGGAGTCGAGAAACAAGTCGGTGGAGGAATTTGTAAAAAGAATGAAAGAAATACAAGACGAAGCAAAAGCAGCACTAGAAAAAGCAAAAGAAAAGGAATTTGTAAAAAGAATGAAAGAAATACAAGACGAAGCAAAAGCAGCACTAGAAAAAGCAAAAGAAAAAATGAAAAAATACTACGATAAACAAAGAAAAGAAGTTCCGGAGTTGAAGATTGGGATGAAGGTGTACATAGAAGGGGAAAATATCGAGACGGATAGACCATCAAAGAAGATGAGCGACAAGAGACTAGGGCCATACGAGATATTGGAGAAGGTTGGAGCGGCTGCATGGAAGCTGGATTTACCGGACACGGACCGAAGACATCCGGTGTTCAACGAGTCACTGTTGACACCCTATCACGAACCACCCCCCCATCGCCGAGAGAAGAGACCCGTAGCCAAGATGATCAGAGGAGCAGAAGAGTGGGAAGTCAAAGAAATCGTGAAAGAGCGAAACGTCGGCCGAGGAAAAAAGTACTTGGTCAAATGGAAGGGATGGCCGCATAGCGAGAACACCTGGGAACCATCACGTCACCTCACCCATGCGAAGAAGGTCCTGAGAGATTGGCAGAGGAAACAATCCAACCCAGACACACGCATTCGCCTCCTGCCAACTCTCGAAGCCAGACATTGGGATTATCTCATCCATCGCTACAAACCCAAAGACGAACGGCTTCCATATCCCCAGCGACAACTCTTCGATCCATACGAAAACGTCTTCACGCCCATTGGCCTAGTCGATGAGGACATCGACCCTAGAGAGGGGGTAATGTCATAATTCGACTCTTTTTCATCTTATCATCGACGATCTTATCTTATCACGGATCACGGCATCAGACGACCCGGGCTAGGGGTTCCAGGGGTTATCTCTATCGATTCGAGGCTGCGCGACATATGCTCCGGAAGGTTCTACTACAACCCATGACCAGTGCTCCATGCGGTACATAGCCCTATGACTCATTAGTTGTAGATATGACTCAGACTGGATTTGGGTATAAATACTGTAGCTATTTGGTTGTATTCTCCAGTCTTGGAATTCACTTCTCTTTTCGACTTTGTTTTTGGGTTGATTGTCACATACTGTTGCTCTCACTCTGATGTTGGTTGCAGACAAGCTATCGTTTGGGGGACTGGCGCCGCAACTTCTTCACGAGGGCTTGCGACGCAATGCTGGCCTATATCAAGTACTCTAACGACCATGATGAAGAGATCAAGCAGCAGAGTATGTGTTTTTCTCTTGTGTGTGCCATTATTGATATGCCTTGTCAGAGTACCATGAACTACTCGTCGACGACCCAAACCTCAAGTACAAAGACGTGACCAACAATGATGACGAACTCTTCCATATGCGCACCCCCAAGGAGATTGCGGAGTTTGTTGCGGCAATGCTGGAGATGGAGGATGATGGCACATATGCCTTTCATTGGGAGACTTACGGGGAGAAGAAGGTATGTCTACAGCATGATCCGCTTGTCGCTTGCTAACGCTATCATATACTAGGGTCTCTTTATGAACTATCTCATTCTCGCCACGTTCAGCTATCACCTGACGATTCTGGATGCGGTCCCTTCCCAGTGTCAGTTTGGAGCTCATCCCTATGGTGCGGTTCTACTGGCAGTTCAAGCAGTGTGTGTCTATCTTATCCGCATTTTGATACTCACACTTGTTTAGGTCCAGCGTATGCTCAATTGCTACAAGACCGGTTTGTTCGTCGGGCCTAATGGGAAAGATCCTGAACAACAGTTCTCTGCTGACAACTACGCTGATAAGAAGGTCCGCCGCGAGGGACGGGTTGTACTCGATCGCCGTGGCACCAAGTACCTGCACACAATCCAGGCATGGAGCAATGCAAAGTGGGAGCGGTTCCTGGCAGGTGCAGAGGAGTACAAGGTCAAGGCCAAGGGCAATCGGGCCTCGAGCGCAGCTTCGTTGGAGCCTGAGGAGATCATTGACGTAGATGCAGAGTTAACGATTCTTTTGGATTAGCATTTGTATTAGCAAAGAATGATTGCTACATTTACTTATTTATTGATTCTGATGCATCCCGTGTGTCCTGATATTGTCTTGAGAGAGATCTTGAATCAACATCTGAGTAAGCACTGAGTCTTGGCAAGGAGAGAGGTGATCTTGACAAAGATCCTTGGATCTTGACAAAGATTGTGTGATCTTGTTGAGGTTAGTGGGGGTATCCAAATCAGGACTGGGGTCTTGAAACGTCATTTGGTCTTGAGTGTCTTGAGTGTCTTGTACAAGACCATGAAGACCATGAAGACAAAGGTGTAGTTTTACTGATGTACGCCTGCTCCATCTGGTGACAAGAGCGCGATACCACACACGCAGCACGCAGATTCAAAATCGGTAATTGTGGCCGACAGCACACACCGTACCAACAGCCGAGAGCCGCAGCAAAGAGACGGAAGAGGTCGTTTCACGAGGAAGTTTGAGACGACAGGAGAACGAGAAGAGTCTAGCAGAGCCACCACCCCCAAGACGCTACGCGACAGCGGTTCGACCACACCGTTTGAGCTGATATCTCGCACTCGTGCACCGACACCTGACTTACTGCCGACGTTTATCGCACCACCCACACGTTCCACGTCACCGACCGCACCAATACAACCCGGGCAACAACAACCAAGTCGAGTCCCCTTTCCGGCGACCACCCCTCGACAACTTCCTCGCACCATGACAGACGACAATGTAGTCGTCTATTCGGGTGGAGTATATACAGTGAGCGTGCGAATGCGATTCCGCCTGATGGCAATATCGCACCGTGATGGCAAATCACACACCGACTATCCCAACAATACGACCCCGCCGTTCACTGCCCTTCCATGCCGTAGCCGGTGATATCATGTGTCACTGCCACTCAGGCACCATTGCTGTGCGGCTGGTACCACTGAGAACTTTTAACGAAGTAATTATGATGACCGTTGCACACTTCGAGACTATGAATTAAATACTTCATGGATTCAAGACCACCAGGTCAGGGTCACAAATTCAAGTAAATAATGTGTCTACACTTTTCTAGGCCGCTTCGTGGTCGATGTACCTATGAGATTGTCGCTGGATCGGGTACGTGTGACGCGGTTTCGACTAGAACGCCGCTGTGTGACCTGAGAGACCGCCTCAACAGTCAGAATTGACTCCTGAGGCTCTTCAGTGTCCACATTGCTCTCCGGGAGTCTCGGCAGCACCAAAGAGGGACTTGAGAGCGGAGGATCAGACTCAGGAATGCTCGAATGGCAAGTGATTGACTCCAAATCAGCCGGCATGTTATCGATGAACATCCCCCATTCATCTGGGGAAAATTCACGGAACCCGGGAAAGGGATCAATATACTGGGTCTGTTTAACGTGTAAGTGCTTTGCGGACATTCATCTTTCCTATATTTTTACTCACCAAGTCGGTCCCCGTCTGGAGATATGTGTTATTGCTGGTGGTTGCTAGCAAGGACTGCGTGGCGCAATCGTCCGACTGATCCATCTGAGGATCAGTGTTGACTGTAAATCGAGGTTGAGAAGCAACGATTGAACCAAAATAATGAGGTACGCACATTGATATTCCCCAAACGCACCGGGCTCCATTTGAACACCACCATCCCATGAACCATCCCAATTCCAATCGCTCCCATCACGGTACTGGCTAAATGGCGTGTCTTGCCAATGGATATCGCCAGGAGAGGATTGCATCACAGTTGGATCCACAGAACTTGAGGCTGGGGCAGGAAGAAAATTAGAGAGATACAATTCCAGGGCTAGACTGGACACACATTCCAAGTGAGTGAAGTCAGAGAGTAGGCCTGTATCCGAAACATTGGAGTTGAGGTTGTGGTCAATGTAAGGGCAACTCCTGCCAGCCCGAAGGAAGAGAGCACACAGCACACAACAACCTCACATGAGTCTGAGCACAGAGGGGGATCCTTAGAGACTATCAAATACAAGGGAGGTATACTACTCACCTGAGCACAGAGGGGGATCCTTAGAGAACGGTTCAAGGATCCATGTGCCCAGGTGTCACACTATATAGTCAGCTGTGACAAGTGACTGATGATGATGGGATATCACTGCTATGGAACAATGGCAGATGACAAGTAGATAATGACAAACCCAGATAAGATAGTGAGTGGCTCAGAGGGGCCAGTGATGGCCAGCTCCTGAGACACCAACAGTGGAAGGCCACACTGGAGGAGCCCAGTGGCCAGGCCAGTGCCAGGCCGGCCAGTGGAGACATCGGAGGCGAGGACCAATGCCCGACTGGGAAGAGGGGTGGTGCGGATGAGCGCAAGGGCATCTGGTACGAGCCTGTACGGCAGTAGACCACATCTGCGGGGAGAAGGCCGAAGTGAAGGGGAAGGAGTGCATACGGCAGTAGCACTCCCTGGTGCAAGGAATCGGGCTTGGCTAGACCGCTTGCGGGGATTCGAGGGAGATGGCCGGGGGAAGGAGGGAGAGGGCGGATGTCGGCATGGATGGAGATGAGGATCGGAGGAGGAGGAGGAGGCTGGGTGATCAACAGGTGAGCAGGCACAGGTCGGCAGAGAGGGCGCAGTGGGTCACGTGCATGGTCACGTGCCCAAGGAGCACGGCATCCCCTGACAGTCAAGAGGTGCTTATAATCGATGACTCACCGATTGGCTGTGTGTTGGCCTCGGGGGTGATGCTGTGGGACTGTGAAGCGATACCTGAATGATTCATTCAGTGTGCGGGCAAGGAATAAAAAATAAATATACCTGTGGCCCCAGCATGGGATCTAGACCATGAAGGAATCTGTTTGTGAGCCAATGGTCCGGAACGCAGCTCTTGGATCTTTGCATCAAGCTCGGCGCGGCGCTCCTTCCAGGCTCGTCGAGTTTCCAACTCTGCCCTATCCTCGGCCCTGAGCTGTTTGATGAGAGCTGAATTTTGCTCGCCGCTGTGGCCATCCTCTTCGACTTGAGTCTTGTACTGTTGAATTTGAATCTGGATCACTTTTGAACGTTCGAGAGAGGCAGAATTCTCCGATCATCCCTCCTCAATCTGCCTCTGAAGCGATTGATAGTCCTGGATATTGTTGTTACGATCTTCGGTCACTTTTCTCTGCCACATTGCTTGCTGAACAGAATGAACTTGGCGCTTATAGACACCATTGCCACGCTTGTGCAGCACACCACTGTTTTCCATCTGCCCAAGATTTGCAGCATGAATATTGTCACGAATCTGCGCACTAAGCAAGTGGCGTCAGCAGAGAAGAATCGAACAAAATAGGACTCTTGTACTCAAGAATGGCGTCTAATAAACCCACGCATTTCTGAGTCTCCGCATTACGTGCTGCATGTGCCGTTTCCACAATATTAGTGTGATTGGGAGTTGTCTTATAATCCTTAAACAATATCTTTGAAAGCACCAGATTGAGAGAGGGAAAGATCCAGTGATTGCTGGTCTTGTGCTTGAGCCAGTCTATTGAGTGATATCAGATGGGAGAAAATTCTGAGACGGGAACAAACTCACTAGCGGCGTCGGGAAAGGGCTTGACAATTCCAGGCATCTCTGCAAGCCATTTGTCGATGGCATCTTGGGTTTCCAAGGTGGGAAACAGACGAATCTGGTTGACTATCTCTCTCGGTACCGTCCTCTCCAGTTCTTTAACGTGCCTGAACAGAATCAGATTGAGATTTATTTTATTGTCAAGAAATCAACATCACCGATGAAAATGGACACTACAAGTCTTCAGACAATAGCTGAGCAAATCCACAGGATCCCTAGAATGGATGTTGCTGATCGAGGGGACGTTGTAATTCACCAGAAACTCTGCAAGACCTAGAGCTTGAGCAATCTCCCCATCAAGCAGAATTACACGACATTTTGCATCTGGATAGAAGGGGGCGAGCTTGAAGACTTGTCCTGTCAGACGCTTGATTGTATCGAACAGTTCTGTCCAAAGCTGCAGATAAGCTGCTGTTGTCTTGGTATCACAGAAGAAGCTGCCAAAAGTGTATCCTTTCAAAGATAAAATTAACAATTGAATTGAACGCATCAGAAAAGCACGAACGCTTGTGGACAGAATCAAGGAAGCCCGCAATCTCCCACTCATCCATCTTCTCCAAATCATGTACTCGCGAGAAGGTGAAGTCTATCGCAAGGAATTGGACCTGGTGGATGCGCAGAGCCAACTCGGGATGCATGGTAACAACAATTCGAAACTTGCCCTTGTTGATTACGGCTTGGATGTAACGATCCGCAGGAAGTAGATCACGGTTTGATGAGTGATAATGCACGAGACCTGGTGAGTAAGTCAGGGATACATATGCACAATTCATGCCCTGGAACACACCTTGCCACCCAGTCCCATGTTCAAAGTCACGTTTCTGCATCGATTTGATTTCATGGCGAAGGTTTCTACTGTTGAGCAGAGCCGTGCTGGCTTCCCCAAGTGCATCTGTACCAAATGCACTCTTCAAGGCGTTCGCTGTTACAAAAAAAGCGTCAGGAATAAATCCCTGTACTCCGAATTTGAACTTACATCTCAACAGTTTGCCTGGGGTGAGACCGCGAACACCGACAGAGTTAATTGCAGCAGAGAGCTGCTGTTTCTCAAAGGAACCCATTTTGGAAACCGGCCATGCGGGATGATTGTGAGGACTCGAAAAGAAAACAATGGCCTTGTAAGCCAATTCTGGATGATTCCGCTGCTCGTTGTTGGTAGGAACCAGAATGATCATTTTCGATGGACATCTTCTTCAGTTGAGCCTTTGCTGGCCTCATCAAATAAAATACTGTGTTGCACAACAGTAGTGTGATTGGGTGTGGGAGCTGAGCCCAGGGCGCAAAGCCGGCGGGGTGCGGATGACCCCGCAGACTCTGCTCTACTGCTGTACAGCAATCAAAAATCAAACAGGCTGTGGGTGGGTGGGTGAGCGCAGAAATGGGAATTTGTCGAGGATGAGATCGCCGGCAGGTGGGTGGAAGGAGAGAGTGAGCTCACAGCCACCCCCTGCTCTTCGGCTC